CCCCCCCCCTCCCTCCAGCCGATGGAGTACAACACCCATAGCTGAGTTGACCGCGCACTGGACTTGCAAGTTGGCCCCTTTTGACGGTGGCATCACCACGCCTACCGTACACATAGTAGTTAGTCTCATCAAAGTAGATAATACAGCCACCGTCTTTTTGATAGTCCTTGAGAGCTTCCGCGAACTTGAAGCGTTTGGTCTTGTTGATGTCATTGTTGCACGTCATGGGCTCGATGCGTGTCTGTTTTACCGTGTACAACATGCCCAGCAAGTGGCGGCAGATCGTTGAGGTGGAGACGTTAATTTCCGTGTCCAAAAAGAGCATCGTGCGCATAGCTTCTAATGTAAATGTGCAATTCTCGTTGAGGTACTCTTCGAGCTTGTTCCTGGCCTCTTCTGTGATCTTCACGACGCTACCCCGAGCGCCGCCGCGTGACACATCCTCCACGCGTCCTGAGGCGACAATACGGTAGGCCACTGCTCGCGAAATGCCGTTGTTCTCGGCCACCTGAAGCCAGTCAGTTTGGACGGGCAAAGGTGTATACCAATGCTACCCCACATCAGTACTGGCCCCCAGGCCATATTTTATTACTCAACAACGAACGAACTTGTAGAACTTTCGATGAAAATATCGCTTGCCATCCCGGCCAATCAGATCTCTCGAAATATTTTTCCGTTTCTATTTAAGGTGTGTTTGTAAAAGCGCAATCGCAATTAATATTTCATTAATTTAAATGCATTGTAGCAAATTTCTAAAGGGGTTTTCATGCGTAAATGATCAACCTACATGTAGTAGTAGGCCGTATTGTGTTAAGTGTTACGGGAATCAAAAAGACTGAAAAGATCGCTACAAACGAGATGGAATTCAATTAAGGCACAGTAAACGTTTTGCTAGTAAGAAAAGAAAAATGTGTATTGTTCAATATTTCCCTCTGAACGTTATTGTAGGTTTAAAAAGCAAGAATTGGTGTAACAACCTCAATTATTTTTAGCTTTTTGGTAGCAGTCAAAACAATTAATTTCTTAAATGTTATTATCCCAACGTATTGTCAATAATAAGAAATAGGTTTTCGCACGCTTGGTCTGGAATTACACAGGTATTCGTAAATTCATCTTCTACGGCTACTTCTTCATTCATTTTCAACACGAAAGGCTGTATCGCAATTTCCCCAGCAGTACGAAGTCTTTCTCAAAGGATTTCAAGCTGGATGATGCCAAAACATATAAGATTACCGACAGATTCGAAACCCCCCAGAACGCGCAACGTTTGCCTGATTCACAAGGCGGTGTATATCCAGTCGTTCCCCTACTTGGCGGGCAGCTGAAAACGCCTCCATCATTCCAGAAAGACGGTATGTTTTACGAGTCCAAACAAAAAATGGCTCAACTCAGGTGAGAGCGATGCCAATTACACCGAGGTGTACATGCCGTTGTGGGGGGGGGGGAGTCAAATTGTTTGTCACGCAACATATTTCTGAATCGACTTTGTGAAACTCGAATTGTGATTGGTGAGCAAATTGGTCTTTTCATACATGCTAACAGGGTGAGTTTGGGAAGAACGTGACTTACTTCCCCATGCGGGTCCCGTTGTGAGCGAACGAGGCGGCTTCAGCATTTGCCACCATTTACTACATGTATCCAGTCGGAGCAGCCAGCAAAGTCTTCTCCTCTTCCAGATGGCAGTATCACCAAGACATTATGTCAATAAAAAGAGCATTGTGGGGTGGTCGACAAGGTCAGGTACTGATAAAAAGGCACTCGTTGCTGCACCCACCTCCTGAACATGGGACGGGGCAGGCCGGAATTACGACACCAAACCAGCACCCACCCATGCCCAGTTGTGACCGTCAGACGCCCATCCTGTGCCCACTGCAGCACCCAACTCGAGAGAGCCAGCTTAAATATTATACACTATACGCGTATATCCGGAAGATACCAAAGAGCCGGAGCGGCTCGACATCGGCGTCCAAATCGGGAGAAGTGTTCTGCTGGGCAGGTCTACCCTTTCATTTCTAAAGACGTTATCAAGCTTATAACTCGACAAACACTGTTGTATGCAACGATTTCAGTTACTTACTTTCTCTCCCCTTCTTTCATCCATCCAGCTTCTTAGCTACTGCTACTGCTACTTTTTTATCATACACGTGCGCAAATAGCGGTATCGCATGCATTGCAATCTTCTTGTCGAGGCGGCTCTGACCCACAGAATATTTCGAATGCCAGCAAGACGTACACACCGCAGTTGTAACTGTCGCTCTGGACACCAAGCCCGGGATCGTGCGTCACCAAGCGAGCACTGGGTCTGACTCCATCTGGCAGCATCATGATCATTTTCTGTGCCACGACACGAACACTGGCAGCGTAGGAGGGCGCCATCGAGTCGTAGACGTACACTCTGCCCTTCTTCATATCCATTAGCACAGTGCACCAGTGGTTGTTGTTGCAGTTGATTGGAAACAGCACTTTCATCTTCTTCGTGACTCCAGCCAACGCCCGTTGAAAGTATCCACTGTCTGTCGTTACGGCTCCGTTTGAAATCCCAATGTTAGATGGGTTGATCACTAGAACACTAGGATCCGCATCAAATAGTTTGTGTAGGACCATCTGCATGACTTGGGCGCTAAGGGTTCCTTCACAGGCAGGTCTACCATGTCCGCATACTCGTTCGACAGGATTGGGAGATTTTCCAGCAGCACAGGTATGGCGGGGTCCTCCTCGACGTAGAAGCTAGAGTTCCCGTGTCGCGTGAAATCTAATCGTTCGATCCAGGTCATAGCTCTTTTGATCTTCTTTATGAATTTTACTGCTGTGTGCCACTTTCTCATGAGCGATATCGTAGAGTTCGCAAAAACTCCAACGCCAACGATCTCCAGCGCCAACTGCATCTCCAACGGTTACTTTTTTTTGGTAGACTGTGACCTTGGCGGTACACTTGTTGATTAATTGCATGGGAAATATTCGCACCACCATTTCTGGTCGCATCAGTGGCTTTGTGGGAGGGAGTTTTGACATCTCGTGGGCGATAGGAGGCTTCGGCTTGCTGGCTAACAGGAACTCTTTGAACTGCAGCAGCTTCTCGTGTGTCGACTTGTATACGGGTTCGCCATCCAGTAATTCATAAACTGTCAGTAGGCTCATTTGACGTTCGTGCATGTCCAAGTCTTCCTGTACCATTGCGATAGTCTGGTTCCACTTTGCTTTGACAGCCCGTGGCTTTTGCTTTGGGCGTCCCTTGGTCTTTGGAGGACTCATGATCTGGAAATCATCGGTCAAGTTTGCAAGCGCAAGCATCGAGCTGTGGTCATCATTGTCCTGAGACGTCTCGCTTTCAATGCTAACACGTTCGGCTTCCGTAGCAATCTGTGCTGGTTCCGCATCCAACTCGTCACCATCCGCGCCCGTCTCGATCGCAACTGAGACCAAATTGTCCCCAACTGAACCCGACTGGTCATCACCTGAGTCCGGCTCGTCCCCAACTGAACCCGACTGATCTGCGCAAACTTGAGTGCTCTCCACTGAAGAAGCAGACACCATTCTTTGGCTCACATCTTCCGCTTGCCTAGGGATAACTTGCCCCACCTCCAATGCCTCGGATACCTCTTCGCTGTCTGTAGTCGGGTGGCGCGCGCCACCAGTGGTGTTCATATTTGCATCACTCAAGCTGTCTTCGCCAGCTATCTCGGGGATGGTAGTATATTGGCCATGCTTGAAAAGGGTGGCAACGTCACGCAAAGCTTTCATCGCTGCCCGGTACTCCACCATCCCCAATCCGCTCAAGTGCTCACTAATTGAAGTTGCCACGAAATTTGCTTCGCGGAACTTCCGGTTGGAATCTGAACAAGCATTGGTCTCCTTCAACACTCTGGACACACGAAACGGTTCTTCAGACAGCTGAGGCAACTCGGATTCAACACGAAGCGACGACAGCAGCCAGCGCGAGTTCAGAAGCTGGAGGAATCAAGTTTTCAAAGTTGAGTGCCTTTCGAATGAAGAAAACATGACGGCATGGCACCAAACGCGAAACCATGAACAAACACGAGCCAGTCCAATCCGTTTTCGTGACGGAGTACTCGCTGCGCGGCTCATCCAATGCGTCTTCATCGTCCGCATCACACCGGATAAAGTATACACCAGGAACCGCCTCGTGAAAATTATACTTTTTCGTTATGGTCACGAAATTGTACTGCTCGTACACAAGCTCGCACGCGTGCTCACTTACCAACTTTGAAAGAAAATCCATCTCGCGATCTTACTTCGGGTTATGCTCGACAGATAGTTTGTAGACCGCGTCCAGAAGCTTCCTCTCCGCCTGAGCTTGATAAATCATTATCGACACAATGCGCTCGTCCACTTGCATGAAAGAGTCCACAAGCTCCTTCAGCTGCTTCCGCGAAGACTCGAGACGGTTGTTTGTGTTGTTGCCCAGGGTGCAAGCATTCTGCCTCTCAAACGCGCACCAAATTTGACGAGAGTTATCCCAATTTTTCACGAAATACGCGTTAAACGGGTGCTTGCACTCTTCACGCACTCCAACTTCCGCGCCCAACTCCGTCCGACCGGTATCCAACACAATATCTCCAGACACAGCCGAGTCAGCTGACACTCTACCAGACCCGGCATCTATGATATGGCGCATGTACTCGCGCAGTCGCAGGTATTGCCGCTCTGTCTTCGAGTACACCAGTAAGTTGACCAATCTTCCACATTTAAAATAGGATGAACAAAACTCACGATGGCTTGAGAATGCCGATCTAAGAATGAAGGGTTTCTGAAGTAACGGTTGAAATTGATTGAGAATACAATTTGGGGGTTTGCCAAGCTTGAGCATCGGGTACGAGAGGAAACGGGAGGCTCTACACATCATCGTGCGTGTCACTTCTACTTCCAGATGATTCGAGGGAATTGATGCTACATTGCCTCCCAATTTGTGATCTGTTTGGTGCTGAAGGGGACCTCTCTCATGCATTTCATAAAGTCCGACAAACTGATCACATATCTTTCGTGGCATTCAGAAATCAACAGCGTTTCGCGGGCATTTACTTAGAATGAAGATGCACGAGACGTTAGCAGGGCGCTTTAGGTTGCTCTACTCCTCTCTGCTGCGGAAGACCGCACACAATTCCAATGTTCACCAATCAAGGGGTCTTTCCGTTTTGGGCCGAACACACTTTCGATGGCTACACTTGCAAAGGGGGCACATTTTTGGGCTAGTACATGTGAGTCCTTTGCCACCATTTACTACATGTATCCAGTCGGATCAGCCAGCAAACGTCTTCTCCTCTTCCAGATGGCAGTATCAACAAGACATTATGTCAATAAAAAGAGCATTGTGGGGTGGTTGACAAGGTCAGGTACTGAAAAAAAAATGCTTGCTGACTCGAAGAGTGTTCGGCTGGTATTCTGTGTAGCGAAAGTTAACGAGAACGAGCTGAGGTTCAAACAAAAGATCTCGCAGAATTCAGCTGCACCAGAGACCGAAGCTATGTCTATTATCCTCGATATTGAGTGGACGCAAATACTGCAATTGGAGACAATAAACTTGAAGATGCGTGAAATTTACACGGAGCTGTAAGTGCGCAGCTACGGAACAATAAATTCCTCACATATTGGCGGAAGATCTCAAGAAGGTTGACTAATGGCAGCACTTCACCGGGACAATGTTGGATTAAGCTCCCACTGTATGCACGTGAGATGTAGCTTTACAATTTGGACTAAGTGGCCACCGAAAGAGGTCTAGTGTGTGATGATGTGTAGTGCTGAAGTAGTGCTAGTTCACTAACGTGCTTCGTTTCCATATTATACTCGTATGTTGATCTAACGTTTAATTTTGTAAAATACTTTTTTAAGCAGAATGCCCCCTTTTCCTGGTTTTCAACTAAGTACGACGATGTATCCATGTTAATCAGGCTTTAGATTTTCTAGTGTTATTCTCAAGAAATCTTAGAATAGTATGCTTAAAGTATCATTAAAGTGCTATTTAAATCTTTAAAAATAATATTAGAGAATCATTCCAATAGATAAAGTAGAAACGAAACTCAGTTTTCAATAAATTAGAAACGCTTTTAAATTAAAAAAAAAATTAGCATGCCAGACAAAGAAGTGTTTTATAAATCAGGGTTAAGTCGTAAATGCCAATGAAAATGTCGCTTGCCGTTGGCATTCAGACGAAAAAAAACCAATAAAATTTTAGTGGCTTATTTTCGTCTGAATGCCATCCCGGCCAATCAGATCTCTCGAAATATTTTTCCATTCCCATTTAAGTTGGCCCATTAAAAATCAATAATCGCGGTGATTCATTTACCACTCACCCGCAGATTAAATAAATCCGCTATTGGAAAACTGCCGTGCTTCAAAAGTACATGCAAAACTGTTTATTGTTAGGCTGCTTTTTTGAAGTATTTACAGTGTTAAAGCACTACAGTGGTAGTCGGTAAGTGATATTGTATTTGGGGACTTGTTTAAAGAGAAAACAGACTGATAGTAGCAGGGCGCCGTCTCTCTCTAGTTCTACCCCCGAGGCTGAGCTCTTCTTCCTCTGTTGAAAGAACTGGTAGACCCTGCTGCTCCCAAGTCTTGAGTAGTTTAAATCCTGTAGGTCCAGGACCTCGACGCCGACTCGTCGGGTGCAATGGTAAGTGTTGTCCTCGCTCTCTTTGCTTTTCACTCTTCAGTCGAGCGTTCGGGTTGGTCTAGTGCACAAACTGCTGCTGGTCGTCCGCCACGAAGTTCGAGTCAAAGTAAATCTTCTGTGGGCGCTGGAAACCGTTGAAGTCCGAGCCGGCAGCGCACGTGTAGGCGCCCATACTCGGGAACAGAATCCACTGTCCGATGTCCATCAACGGCAGTTCCACCTCCTTCATGATGCAGTCCATGCCGTCGCACGTCGGGCCCCAAAGACTAGCCTTGTACATCTGGGTGGCGCCCGGCGAGGCGGCATCCGACATGATCACAGGCTGAATCGTCGGGTGGTCGTAAACCATGCAGTTGAACGAGGCGTACAGCCCATCGTTCACAAAATACATATAGTTGGGTGTTTGTCCCGCAGCACTGGCGAGCACAGGCGGCTGGCCGGGGACGTCAAAAGTGGGCGCCACCTTACGACCGATCACGTTGACGGCCAGTGTGTGGGTGGACGCGGCGAAGAAGCGGCCAGGCTCCGAGATGACCTTGACTCCGCTGCTCTGAGGGAAGTGGACGGCGAGCGACTTCTTGAGCTCAAGAGCGCAGTCTTCGAACCGGATCGGGGCGTTCTCCGTACCGGGGAAGCCACCGCCAATGTCCAGCAGGTTGAAGTTGAAGCCGAGTGAGTGACCAATGTCGAAAACCTTGCGGGCACGAACCACGGCGTTCGAATAGGCCTCGACGTTGAAGCAGCCGCTGCCGACGTGGAAGCTGACGCCGACCACGTCGAGATTCAGAGCCTTGGCGTGGTTCAAGATGTCCGGGACATCGTGCACCATGGCCCCGAACTTGGTGCCGAGACGGCAGATGGAGTTCGAGTCGTCCACGTAGAGTCGCAGTACGAGCTTCGCGCTGGGGTTGATGCTGTGGATCTTCGTGAGTTCATCCTGCGAGTCGAAGGTCATCATGTCGACACCGTTAGCGTGTGCATAGGCGATCTGGGAGCCTTGCTTGCACGGATTGGCATAGATAATGTCGCTGGCAGGGACGCCGTTGCCAAGCACAGAGCTGATCTCCGTCTGGCTGGCGCAGTCAAAGCCTGCTCCGAGGCGGGCCAAGCCTTCAATGAGGGCTGGATCCGGGTTGCATTTCACGGCGTAGTATGGCCGCACCTCGGGCAGATACTGGTGCCAGAGCTTGAAGCGATCCTCGATGGCGGCCGTGTCCACGACGTAGAACGCGTCGCGTTGGCTGCCTGGGGCGTTTCCAAGGCTCTGGATCTGGGTCTGCAGCTGCGTCAGTATGGCCGCGTTGAGCTGCAGACGTTGCAGCTCAGGCGGAGGCTTGGCGTTCGTGGAGGCCGTGGCCAGGTCGCTGGACAGAAGCGTGGCACGGGCCGCCTGTGTGCTCATGCAGCGAGCAGCGGATCGCTCGTGGCCGAATCTGCTGGCCAGACGTGACGCGCTCTTGAGCGCCGCGCGGCTGGCGCGGGAGCCTCGGAAGAGCAAAGCCATCTCGACAGCGGACGGGAGCGGGCGAGAAGCGGACGCGGTATGCGCAGACGCGGGCCAATTCGGGAATGAAGCGAACGGCGCTGGCTTAACGGATGGAGGCAAAAACCAACCGCCGTCAGGTTGCAGTGTCAAAAGTACTGATGCAAAACACGGGGATCGGATCTTTGACTGACGCAGAGTATGGGGATGAGCCCATGCTGATTGGCTGCCAGCCAGCCGTTATGCGTTGAAGCTATGTACGAAAAAAGAACCGGCCAAAAAGATAACTTGTTGCTATCGACAAGAGTAAGGTGGTTTCAGCCTTGTGCGACGTGGGAGCACCTCCAGTCTGACTCGCTTGCTTGCTCGATGTGAGCGTTTTGTTCAAGTTGAGTTTTTTTTTCATTTGCCCGTCGCACTGGGACGGGCCTGAGCGATTCCAGGCAAAAAATAGCGCGAATGCTTGGCAGTTTTTTTTTATTGTGTTTAGAGCGAGGTGCGTCAAGAGAACACGGCTCCATTCTTCGTGCTGCGAACGTGCCGTCCGGACTGCGGATCTGTAGGTTAATTCTCCTTGAAAAACCACGCAAAATTTGTAGAATTTCCCGGTGCTTTTCAACACCGAAAAAAAAATTTTGTATCGACAATTTTACAGTACACCATGTATCGGCGTATCCTAAGACTGAAGTTTACGTTGAAGTGTAAAGTTAAGATTTCGCCAGCAGTACCCTCATCCCCAACGGTTCAGACTCAGATTCGTCATCGTTCTGAGATGCATTTTCTTAGCTCTATATGGAGATGCCATTCCCGACAACGAGTTGTCCTCGCCTTAGTGGCGCATCGCCATCGGGGCATCATTTCTCGAATGCTTATCGAATATTTGGCAAGTAGGTGGTTTCTCGAGTTCTGTGGCGTTACCACTGGGCAACGCTGTCGTCCAGCCGACACGTCCCCGTTGTAGCTCCACTGGGGCTGAGCACTTGCAGTGGCGCTCGGTTTCGCAGGAAACTGCTCGCTCCCATCAATAACAGGCCAATGAGAGCGATGTCTTCACCCCAAGAACGTGCGCAGGGCTGCCATGGACCCAAAACGCCGTCGGACACCGTCGAATAAACCGCTCTAAGCTAAGGATAGTCGTGCTTAAACTCATTATCGATGCAGATATCTCTACGGCGATAGGTATTCGCTGGTTTCAATCGACTCCTCTTGTTCCTCCGGCTCCATCTGCTCCATACTGTTGCTGAGTTCATCCGGGTCTTCACCACGCATCAACTTCTCGAGTCGGTCCAGTCCTTGCAACGCCTCAGTCGACCCAGGGTTTAATCTCAATGCTTGGTGGAAGTATTTCAACGCCTCTGCGTACTGTTTGTCCATGGAATAAACGTACGCCAGCTTCGTGAAGACTTCTTCTCGAGGGTGACGCTCGCCCAATGCCTGCAGTCTATCAATGGCTCCGCGTAAGTTACCGTCTTCGACCAGCAGATCAGCAAGCGCAAAATTGGTGGAGAGCTTGCGAGGTTCCATGGATAACGCCTTCTGCAGCGCCTGACGCGCTTGCTCTCGGTGCTCTGAGCTTAGTGCAAGTACACTACCGAATAGCACGAAGCTCTGTGCCTTCTGTGGGTACAGCTTCACGACACTCTTGGCAGTTGCCAATGCCTCTTTGTATCGGTTCACACCAATAGCAAACAAGTCACAGTAGCTAGTGATAATACCCGTGTAAGCCTGTAGAGACCGAGTGAGGCGGCATGCAGTCCAGAAAGCTTTCAACGCAGGCTGTGGACGATGCATCCGCAGCAGTAATTCACCTCGTAATAAGTGGGCTGGAGCGTGGCGATGTCGCTCCGCGATGGCACGCTCGGAGAACTGTAAGGCTGTCTCGAAGTCTCCTTTCACGTCGTTATAATACGCAGCAGCAAGCCATGCTTCTGCACTTGTATTGCTGATCTTGAATAGCTCTTGAACCAAGTCATTGAGGTTGGTGCGTGAATTCCCTTTTCGCAGACAATTGGCGTAGCGGTCCATAAATGCCAAGTTTAAGTCGTCGGTCTGCCGTGCACGCTTGAATGTTACGTGAGCTTGATGGAGCAGCTCCTGATCGATCTCGAGCGCTCCCTTGCGCACTAAGCAATGTAGATTCTTAGGAAAGACTCGATCTAGCGTGTTGAATGACTCCACAGCCGCTACGAACCATAGCAAAAAAAAACGTTAGCCCGTAGTTTAACAATAACAAGCTAGTGATTAATGACATACCTCGATAATTACCCCGCTCAACATCCATGTGAGCAGCCACCAACGTCTGCATCCACGACGAGTCTACTTGAGATAGACCGATGTCTGCAGCGTTAGGCTTCGCGGCAAGGTCACTATAGAAATGTTCAATTTCGTGATGCCTGACAGTAACCGGTGTCAGCTTCAAACCATCGCCGGCCCTCGCTGTTCCATCCGATCCAGAAAATGCATCCGGCGATGCATCTTTTGCTGCTGCCAGTTCGGTGAGAGCTAAAGCTGCTTCTAAAGCGTATGGATTCTGTCGTAGGGCAGCCGTGTAGCTCTCCTCCGCCTTGTTTTGCAGTCCTTCGTTCACATACAATTTCCCAAGTAGTAGATTCATGCTCAGAGTCCGTCCTTCCAGCGGTGTCGACTTCAGCTGCTCGTAGTAAATAATTCCCGTTATTTTGTTAGCATTTCAACTTTCTGCGTACATAACTGCAATCAAGCGTACCACTTCGATGGCTTCGTGAATACACTCGAGCTCCACGTAACACCTGGCTACCTTGAGCTTCACCTCCAGCTCTTGCTCGTTCGTCACGACACTCATATCCCTGCAGCTATGGTGATAATACCGCTGTATCAACCACCATTAATAACGCACAACCATACGCCGTCGTAAGGGCATTGCAACTCACAATGGCGCGTTTAAATTCGCGTTTGGCGAGCATTAAATCTGCAAAAAGGCGCAATGTCTTGGAATGGAACGCAGGCGACAGCGTCCTGGCGTAATTTGCTGTTTCTACAAAATCCTCACCACGCCTCCGCGACAAGAAACTCTCGTCTGCTTCGGCGCGAGCGCTTTTCTTGCCATTGTGGGCCTCTGAATCTGATGGGAACAGCGCAATGGAGACCAGCAATTCACCTAATATCTGGGCGGTGTCCACATTCCCGTTGCGAACGAAAAGCTCCAGTTGCTTTTGCATTATCTCGGCGTCGAATCCTGCAGTTTGTTGGGGGTTGGCGCTGGCTGTGGAGTCCTCATCACGACACGGAAGCAGGTCACTAGCACGCCGCTTTTTGCTTGGTCTGTCCATTTTCAAACTGCACTAAGTTCGTCTTAAGTTCGCACTCAATTAGTCAACGTGTTATTAGCGCGATCATTTTCGGCGTCTTGACGTCCGCAGCGTTGGCGATGTCAACGCAATGCATACAAGAAGTAGCAACACCTTAGGTAAAAGGTGTATGTGCCTTGTAGATACACAAGGTTAAGAAAATTAGAAAAAATAAGCCGAACATTGGACACTTAAGTAAACTGTCATTTAATCATCCGCCAGCTTATCTGCTGTGAAGATGCATATACTGTCGATAAGTGTTGTAATGGACACTTCCGATTATCTACAGCTCGTCGGTCTTGCGCTTGATGTCGAGCAGCTCAACGTCGAAAACCAGCGTCGCCTTGGCGGGGATCTTCGGAGGCGAGCCACGGTCGCCGTAGGCCAGGTCCGACGGGATCGTTAGACGACGCTTCTCACTGCACAACACACAACATACATAGCCAATATTAGTGAGTATCAAAAAGTAGATAATAAAATAACTGCCAGTAGTTCACGTACCCGATGCACATGTCCACAAGTCTACAGTAGCACACAACCAGCAAAAACACACACATAATACACAGCGGATCACGTTAGCCACCGTACCGTAGTCTTTTAGACCAGTCTACAGTAATCTTAAAATTGCACGCACCCTCGGTCCCAGCCCTGCTCAGATCAAACAAAAAACACCGAAATGACAACAGTGACGTTAGTATCGAGCCCAAAACCTGCAGTATAACTCCCCCAACAACATGTAGTTAATCCCGACCTTAATGACGCGGCCAGCACCGAGCGGAAACTCGAAGGGCTGGTTGCGGTCCCGGCTCGAGTCGAACTTGGAGCCGTCCTTGCGCAATGTGCCCGTGTAGTGCATGGACAGCGTGTCACCCAGTTGGCTCTTCATGGTGCACTCCTCGGGGCGGTGCTTCACGCCGATGCGCAGCTGCGCGTCAGGCGGGAGGTCGTCCTTGGCCTGCACCTGCACAGCCGCCATCACCGCGGCCACAAGAAACGCTGTCCACTTCATCTTCACTTCTCCACTTGGATTGTGCGCAACGTTGATAAAGTATGCCGAAATTGTTCCAAGTGGTCAATTATCATTGGTAGGAAATACTAACCAATCAGAGAAGAGCGGACGACCCACTTCAACGTCGCTTCACGTCCCCTCGATCTTGCAGGTATGACGGCGTGGATTGAGGAGTTTGCTCGCGCTGTAGAGATCGGTACAGGTATGTTTTACCTCAGCAAGCTGAATGCGGCCATCGTAGTGCTGACGTCTCGTTTGTAGCTCACTTGAACTCGGTTCCAGGACGCGAGGAAGCTGTAGAAAGGATTCTAGCTTTTCTGGCAAAGGTGAATAACCCTACAGTAGAGAACGATGAAGGTATACGCTCCACTTGTGATATACTGTCTGGTGATCAGTATTGACGCTTGCATGTGTATAGCCATTTGTCGTCTTTTGGGCGCGTGCAGAGTATTCATGCGTGATCGGAGAGGAATCGATAAGCTCTTATCAGCTGAGGTACACAGAGCCGTGAGCCGTGGTGTTTTATGAGAGAGTATACCTGTGCTAACACGGGTGGTATAGTCACTGGACAGCTTCTTGCTGCTTGCTGAAAATCGGTCGTGGAGTTCGGCTCTACGGGAAGAGGCTCTCAAGTGCATGATCAATTCGGTGTACTCGCGACCAGAGTTTGTATCACAAACTCTCATTGATCAAGGTTTCGTCGCGCGATTGTTGAGTATTGCAAAGATGGGAGACGATGTTGCACTACACTGGCTGGTCTGGAAAGTCTTGCTGGTTTCTTGTGAAGCTCCTGAAGTACCACGACATTTAAGCGGCTCACTCGAAGCTTGGCAGCTGATTTATACGGTATCATTAGTATTGTGTTCGCATGGTTAAAGATTGCTACTCAATTGTGGTCTTGATCCCTCAGACACTGTTCTACGGGTTCAACCACGGAAACCAGGCCGAAATCGCCATTGGAGCGCGTGCAACCTTACTTCTCGACTTGGTCAAGTTGATCACTGTGCTAGTAAACGAAATGCAGTGGACAGCAGAGCAGGAAACACTGCAACCGGATATTTTCCGTACTGTTCATCGGTAAGGTATCAATTGCACTTTAATGCTAACTACTTGAAGTACAAAAAACAATGCTAATGCATATTGAGGATACACAGACTTGGGCGTTTGCTACTGGAGATTCTACAGTTCAAACATCCAAGCTTATCTCCGCTGAACGACAGTCTTATCGAGCTGAAGAATAAAGTAATGGAGGTGTTCATGTTCCTCCCGGGAAGTCTTTTGGCAGCATTTATCCAGCAGCAACATCGCGAAAATGCTGGTTATATAGAAAGATCACTACTCTCACCAGTTCTAGATCATCTACACGCCATGTTGCTCGTAGTACGGGTCGAGAAAACCAGGTAAGTGATGCGCCAGCTGACACTTATTGTTTCGCTAACGTCTGCTATCCAGCCCGCTGAAGGAGATGCTGCCCACAATTATCGTGTGCCACAATCTGGCAAAGACTGGTGGCCAAGACATCCTAACGTGCTTCAAGGATGCTGTTTTACCAGCAACAGAGCCCACAGACTCTGTCACCAATGCCTTTGGCCGGACAAAGATACTTTTCTTCAAACACTTGAAGTTTTTCCTCACATGCCTCGACACTGACGTCCGTCGCTACACATCCGAGTGGTTGTTCCTGCTGTGCGATGAAAATGGTAAGGATTTCTCACTTCTCAACTCTTTTATTGCTTGTATGGGGGTGTCATCCTATGCTTTTCATTTTCAAAATTTGCTTCCTGTTGCCCCCCGTTGAATAAAATAATTAACGCTTTCCATGCGTGTCGATAACCCAGCCAAGGAATATACACACCACACTGGTGTGGGAAATGCAATCGGCTTGCTGCGCATGAAAGGTCTAGCGTAGAGACCTCCTTGTCCGCCTTAAATATCCCCGACACTGCCCATGGAGAGCATTCGCTGCTTGCGAATGTGGCTGCTCATACCCATCTCTTGTAATAGTTGGAATAAATCTCCAGAGTTCTTGATAAAGTACGGCGCCTGTGAGAGTTTGCGGCCAAGTGTGCACACAAACGTGTTGACCGGAAAGCGATATCGACCGTCTTCAGCTTCATCCGTAGATACCGACGTCGTTTGACTGACCGACTCACCTTCTGGGAGCTCCTTTGCAGCGATAATCTTAGGCGACTTGTCTTCAGTCTCGTGTCGAGTGTGCTCTTCATCATTACCACTGCCTTCGGCTGGCAAGGGAGGTGACAAACTGCTTGCTGAGCTATTGCCCGACGACTCACCCGGTGGTGAACGCTCCACATCCGGGCTTCCAGTGATGGATGACTTTCCTTCCGAGCTCTGCCCCACGCCATCTTCGAGCTTGGCACGTGCAGTAGGTGGACAAACGAGTGCCCAGCAAGCTGCCGGTGTATCCGGAAGTCTGTGAATGCCAAAGTTGTCGCCATATTTCACCTTCATAGCCTTGAATAAAGCAGCAGATGGCGGGAAGTCACGACGAGGAGTAAACTTGCTCTTCTCAGTAATTTCATCGCGCCGAGCATTCGATGGTCGATTCAGCATCGCCACCGGGAACATATTCGCAGCACCTTCAGAGATCGAAGGCTTCGCAAGTGGAGTCAGCTTTGTCATATTCTCACCTAGCATGAGAAAATCGGAATCATTGGGCTGCGAAAGCCGAGCCAACGATGCAGCAGCCGATAGACCTCCTCGCTCTCCAGATCCTGTAGCGAGTGACGCGGAGCTGCCATCTCGACCCAGAAGCCGTCGAAAGGCGTTGTAAGACATGTCATCACTAATATCCCCAAAGCTGGAAGATCCAATGCCACCTTCACTCTCGCCTGCGTCCAGGATAAAACTCCGTTGAGAAAACGAAGACGACTCATCAATATCGGGTTTTATTCCCTCCTGTTCACTGTCGGATAGATTCTCAAACTCGTCTTTTTCGAGCTGTCGACAATATGCCTCCAGATCAATCGGAGGTGGCACCAGGAATGAGAACAAATCTTCATCCGTTCTGTCATCACCTGACGCGATGACCAACACGAAATCGACAGGATGCTTATCGTCCACATCCTCCAACTGGCCTAAAGTCAGCGCCCCAGCATCCATGTTAAAGCTCACAGAATCCTTCCGATCTGCCCGATACTCAAGATCGTCCAAACTAAACCCAGTCGTATCATCTTCGCCAATAGGGTCAGTGTGGAATCCACGTGGTTTTATCATTGGCGATGACGGCGGGTGTACCGGTTCTCCGAAATACTCCGTTGTCGCTGGATCTTCATCGGGGAATAGCAAAGACCAGTTCATAAACTCCCATATGCGCTCAAACAACGTAGCCTTGCTAACTTTTTGAGGTCGTACTTCCAGATACCGGTTACCGGGACACACTGACACTGGGAGCGACCGCGTGATCTCGCGTAAAGAGACCAATAGCTCACTCGCTTGCCATAAGCCATGGTCCAGATCACAGTCACGGTAATGCCACGCCACTGAACTATCTTTTCTCTCGATGTACGCACCTGGGGTACGCTCTGTGTAGTACTCCAGCAACGGCACGACGTGTTCCCACCAACTCATGTCCATATTCGGCACCATACAGTGCCAATGCTCGTTCTCACCGACCCACTTAACGTAAACGCCATACTCTGCAGCAAGAACGAGGTTCCCCGAGAGCCCAGCAAACCACTGCTCACAGACTGAAGTGCTACGTGCACTTACCAACACCACCGTATTGCGTGGATCCTTCGTAAGCATAGACAATTGCCAGATAAGCTCTTGAGGCGGATAAGCCAGCTCCGGGATCGACGCCTCAACAGCAAGTACACCTTCGTAATTAATGAAAATCAGTCGTCGAGATGATCGCGAATATGCTGAAGTCATATCTCTACGACTCAACTCGCGTCCAGATACAGATAGAGCGTTCTCTTCGCTGCACTCGTGAAGCTGTTCCAGGAAATTATCCGCCCAATGCCACGAAGTGAACGAACTCACGTAGCTGTACATGTGCTGGTGGGCACGCATCACTTCATCGTTGTCTTGGAGAGATTCCTGCAGCGCATCCGTCAATTCTTCGGTATTCCAGGGATTCACAAGGCGCGCGCCGCCCAAGGATTGAGCACAACCTGCAAATTCACTCAGGATCACGCGAGCGTGCTTGTCCGTGGCCTCTCGACAGACTATATACCCAAAGGGAACAGTATTCATACCGTCGCGTACAGGAGTGATCACAAGCGCGTCTGCCAGCGCATACAGCGCGATCAGAGCCTCCACAGCGATCTCTTTATTCAAATACTGAACGGGACCTTCAGTACCGATATCTTGCAACTTGCTGTTAATACGCGACACAAGCGACTCGACTTGAGACTCCAGTGCAGACTCGTACACTGATGCTCCCGTAACAATCTGCAGAAACACCACTTCTTTCGCAAGTTCAGGCTTGTGAGTGAACAGTTCCTCAACTGCAAGTAATTTATGCACCAATCCTTTGGTCTGGTCCAGTTGGTCCACGCCCAAAATTACTTTCTTGTCTGAAAATTGACCCTCTAATTGCTTCATTTGCTCCTGAACAGCATCGGACTGTACCATCGCGATGTATTTCTCAGCATCAATTCCCACTGGACAAATAGTCACACGCGCAAAATGTCCGTTAAAATCCACACCTTTGTGGCTGCTCTCGAGTCCCAATAGTCTCACGCATGCACTTTGAAAGTGTCGGGCGTACTCGTACGTCTGAAAGCCGATCAAATCCGCGCCCAACATGCCTGTCAAAATTTCCTCGCGATTGTTCAGTATCCGATACAGCTCTGCCGATGGGAACGGAATGTGCATGAAGAATCCCAGACAAATATTGTCATTCGGGAACAAATTCTGCACCATTTGCGGCACCAGCGTCAAGTGATACCCCTGGATCCAGACCAAGTCTCCTTCTTCGTAAACTTCTTGTACCGCATCTGCAAACGCCTGATTGGTCGCTACATAAGCCTGCCACATTTTCTCCATACTGCGCTCGTCCTCTTGTCCGCCTTCCATCGTTTCATGCTGCGTAATCTGGTCGTCCGTTGTGGGCGGACACGAGTGGAACAGAGGCCACATGACGGTCTTGCAGAAGCCCTGATAGTATAGTCGTTCTCTCTTTTCATCTAGAAATACGGGGTAATACTTGCGGTCTTGCAGCAGTTGTTCCTTTAAAGTATTTTGCTCGCTAGGCTCGATTTCTCCATGAACCGACCCGATCCAGACGCAGTCATAGTTCTCGTGTAGTGACTGGAAAATCTCCATGGCTCCATTAAGACTCGCGTGCTCTGGGAATTCAGCGCGCCATTGCGACTGTGCGTCTTCAGATACGAGCCAGAAGGGCAGTGTGCGGGTGACCAGCAGCACGCGACGACGTCGTCTCGAGCCCTTGACGCCCTCGTCGTCCGTGTCGTGGTCGTTATCGCCACTCTCCTGCTCCGCCTTGACGCGCTTCTCCCGCACCTGGTTGAGCTTCGTATACAGCGCCGAGAGCTCGCGCAGCAGCGCTCCCTCGCGCTCCTTGAAAGCAGCACCTTCGGCCATCGACGTCGTTTATAATTGTGATGGATGGAGAGACAATCGTGAGAAGAAGCGACGAGGCGCGACCGCGACAAGGCGCCGGCAGCTGCAGAATCCAATTGGTCAAAGCACCAATGTTCGATGCAGCGAATTGTGAGTATGATACGCACGCGCAGGCCGAGTAAGCCGCAGCGAAGTGGTGGAGGCCGCTGGAATTGACGAAAAATGGTTATGGAAACTGCACTAACACATAATTCAGAAGCTTATGAAATATTAGAGGAGAAATTATAAACGTCTTTTCGTTCACACACGAATAAAGATACCAAAGGTATAATTTTTATTGCGAACGATAAATTTGGTTTGTTAACTGCACGAGCCAGACCGCATGAAAAAGCATGGGCCGTAGACGGCGTTGTGTTTCTGTGTGTGTTTGTTTCGATGTACTGGTGGTAAGCATCCAAGTGGTAAGCATCTAAACAGCAAGTTGTCGGCAACGATATCTGTGCAGCGCGTTGTGTCAACGGCGCAAAGCGTCGTTCGTAGGTGGAATATGTCGTACGTCGACAGTTTCTTCTAATGTATTTATCTAGGGGTTAATTAAAAAAAAGCATACAGTGGGCGTGCCTGCGTCTTCGATGCAGCCGGCCGGCCCCTGTGTGAACCTTCTTCGTAGAAGATTAACATTCACGTTACATTTGAGAGACGAGGTAGTAGAAGACGATCATCATGAGCAGAATAAGCGACGCGCCCAGGATGGAGAACATGAGTTTGCGCTGACGCCGTCGCCGCATCTCCTCAAGTTCCGAGAGCAAGACCACTGTGGGGACAAGCTCCAGGTCGGGACGCACGCGGTAAAGCGCCGTCTTCTCCTCGATAGTGAGGCGGCGCGGCATGCAGCGCGTGGAACACGAGCCGTCGAGCCTCCGCTTGGTGTTTTCATCCTCGTCGCTGTCGATGTCCAGCGCGAACTCGACGGAGGCCTGTTTCTTGAGGCTACGGCACGAGAAATCGGCCGAGGGGATTCTCAGAATGGACTGAAGCGAGCCTCCGTTGCTGCTGGCCGTGCAGCTGCCGTCACTATCACTCTCCGTTTCGCTCTGGTTGCTGTGTTGGTCGCTACCGCCAAGAAGCGCGTCTGATTCGGTCGGTCTCGGGGCCACGGGGATGCCGCTCTTCCTGGTTGAGCCTGCAGGCATGGAGCCGTACGTGGCGGTGAGTTGTCGTCGGTTGCCGCTGGGGCCCGGCTTAAGCGCGTAGGACACATAGCCCGCGCGCTGGTACGGCGTTTGATCACTGTCCGTGGGTTTGCCCTGGTCGTACGCCTTGTCGTGGACGGACGAGCCGGCCTCGAGCGCCAGTAGCGGCAGGACCTCCTCGGCCTCCCGACGCGAGTTTGTTCTGCCGGTCATGTATGGAAATCTCAGGAAGTGCTGACACCTCCAGCAGCTTTTTCACTTGTGAGCGGAGGGTTCCTGGCGACCGCCAGCCAGCGCAACCGCCGCCGCGACTGCTGGCGGTCACATCTGTCAGCATCTTTCCATTTTGTCGTCCTGATTCGGCAACGCAACGCAAGGTGTTGTTTCTTACAAGATGAAAATCAGAAAAAGAAAGCACCCCCTCTTTGCGCAACCAGGGATGTGAGCTTTTCGAAACCACGGATTTGCACAGTACTTCCCGAAGGTGGCTTTTTTTTTTCAGGATGACAGACATTGCACTGCGATCGCAGCGCTAAAACGGAGGGACTGCTGACAACAACTGTAATGCGCGATAAGAATGGCCTTATCTGCCCGCCCTGGACTATTTTAATAGTGCTCGCCTAGCGAGCTAAACATCACCTCTACCTTCTGCTTGGACATTTGGCATCTTCTCTCCCTCTCATTTGGATGGCGATCTTTGCCTGTCATAGCCGTGCGATGGAGATCCTTTCGTCAGCTTCAACATGAGACCTGATAATACCATGAAACCAAGTGGATGGAGGTAAGGAGTCCTAAGGGCTAATGGAGGCCGACTGCACTGCAGTCATCAGCTACCAAGTACTAGCTGAGACTACTGCGCGCAATGCTCGTCGTGGTCGTATTCACCATGGGTCACAGTATGGCCGCGTATTCATCAAGGTGATCGCATGACGAAGTATTAGCGTCGCCATGTTACAGAAGTGTGGATGTCCTTTAGCTATTGTTAGTGTTGTGATCACGCTTTGCAGCCAAAGGTCTAATTGGATCCGTTATCGCGGTAACAAACAGTGCAGATAACAAGTGTGACGATGAAGGTATTAACCACTGAGTATCACACTCGCTGCGCTTTTAGCGGCGGTGAAGATACTCAAATATGTGCAGTATCCACTTCGTGATGGAACACAAATTGTTTAGAGAGAACTCTTCTAGATGAACTTGTTCAAACGCGCTCCTATTCCTTGATTTCAATATCATAAAGTTTACTGCACGTTTTGCTACTTATCCGTGGGCATATCTTGATTATGAACGCGTTCCAACAATTCGAAGGCCCATCTAAAGGTCTCCACGCCTTCTTTGATGTTGAATGTCCCGTAAGCAAATCTTGGCTAGCTCGAGCCCAGTGTTCACCAGTGCTCCCAAACCAGACAGGAGCACCTTAGCAGTAGTAACTGTGGCGGCCAGCACTAAATTCATTATCTTCTCCAAAGGATTGACCGGCCAAGGAAGCTCGATGCTGTTGACCAGGCCACATAATTATGATATCGTGACGCCTTACTGGTGGTGTGCAAAATGAGAAATGGGGATTTTTACGACTTCTGTCTCTGTCTGCCGTGCGAGCTACGACAAGGAGCACCACCAATAAGGCAATCTCATCGATGAAGGGCGTTCAACTTAGATTGCAAAGGTTTATTGCACTAATGTGGAGCTTTCTGGGATTTCAACATTCCCGCGGAACTGTCATAATAGGATGGAGAGATCTGTGTTAAGCAATCACGGTAGCTGGTACTTAAAAGTTGCCAATGTAGACGCGCTCTGGTGTTCCCACGTCGTACGAGTCTCCGGTGTACGTTAGCAAACCAGTGTCCGCGTTAAGCTTGAACAGATGCATGTTGTCCGAGTCTTGGTTGGCAACCACCATCCAGTCTTCATAGATCGCAAAGCTCTTTGGGGTTTTGCCACGGCTACTTTCCCAACCAAGAGATGTCAGTGTACCATCCGACTCGCGAACAGCGAATATAGCGATTGAGTTGTGACCGCGGTTTGACGCATAGAGGAACTTTCCGTCGCTCGATAAATGAACGTCAGCTGCAGTGCTCTTGTTTGTGAAATCGGCCGGTAGCGTCGTGATGTTCTGCATTGCCGTATTCGACAGTAAAGCGGTCTTTTTGTTGATCTCGTACACACCGACGGTGTTAGAGATCTCGTCCACTACGTAAGCAATGTTTCGCTTAAGATGCATCGCCATATGACGCGGCCCCGATCCTGGTGGACGCTTGACAGTCTCCAGACTTTTAAGGGTTTTCTGCTTCGTGTCAAGTTCGAACTGGAGTAGTTCATCACTACCGAGGTTTGCGGCGACGACATGGTTCGAGTTGGGAATCCACGTGGAACTATGAATGTGGCCAACCGCTTGCTGGTCCATGACGACTTTGCTTCCAGTTGGGAAGTCTTGATGGAAACTCTCCTTGCCAAGTGAGCCGTCAGCATTCAGCGGGAACATGGCAAGACTCCCGTCGTAATTCGAGACAACAACGAAGTCTTCGTTGGCACTCAACGAAATGTGCGTCGGGTTTCCGCCATGTGACTCGAGAGTGTTCAGGAGCTCGAGGGTACCGTTTGACCCCATCGTCAGTGCTGACACGTATCCAGTTTGAGTTCCAGGGTTGGTCTTGGATTCGTCGGTAACCGCGTTCACTGCATAGAGCACAGGTTTTCCGCCTGAAAACTTCTTTGTCGATCCCTGGACGAACACAGGATTAACGCCAACTGGTGTGACCCCGAAGGGGGTCAGAGATCCATCGCTCGTGTCAATTTTGTAGGTGTAGACACCCTTCCCAGTCCCGACCATCCATCCTTCGTCGCGCGTGTGCGTGCCCACAAATAAGATAGGCTGCGATGCACTTTGTTGCGTTCCCTCAACAAAAGCACAAGTGACACCGGCAAAGAGCATGGCGAGTCCTAAAAGAGAACTTGGTACGCGCATCTTGAGCGAACAACGCTGGCTTGTGTGTTGTTGGCGAAGTAAATCGAAGAGTGAGGCATGATGCCTCTGCCTGGCATCACCATCGAGAGATTTTGTTCGTCCTATCGTCCAACACGATTACCCGCGAAATGTCCATTTCATAAGCTAGTCAACAAGCATATCGTTATGAGAGCCAGCATAGGCTGTACACTGTACGTGCATACATTGAAGATTGGCTATACATTTCACATCGATCCAGCCTTTACTTAACTGTAAGTACAGTATAACAAGCGTGCATGAGTTATCAGTTTTTAGAGATCGATAATTACTTTGCGTGTCATTTTCTTCTTTTTTTAGCTATAAAAATAAAGTATCGCTTATTAAACTTCTATCCAAATTGATGCTTTCAAAATTTTGCTGCTCAACTTGAGCAGCTCAAGGCGAACATTAGGTTTCCGTCTTAGTACATGTACATCTTCAAGGTACGATCTAATCTCTCTGGCTTGTGAATTTGCTTACAGGGCGACAAGGTTATCGATGTTTACGAGCGTGAATAGAGGTCACAAGAGCGAGCCAGCAGGCCTCCTAAAATTATTAAATAGGCATAGAATTTAAATAAAATGAAAAATCCGCAATTTAGCGGATTTTTCTCATTTTTGTTTAGATTATGATTAACTTTATTTTGTGGCTTTACTTGCCTTATTTTTTTAGTAAGGAATAAACAGAAGGTGTCTAAACTACACCGCCTGGGATATTCATTTATTTATCTCCTCTGAGAACGGGCCCACGGTAGCTGCTGAGATATCCACGTCGAATGGGAGGTCTGTCTCTTTGGTGCGAAACTCGTCATATGACCGGTTCCCACAGAAAAAAAACGGAATGACCAGTCTTAGTCATTTGCCACACAGAAGGACCGGTGCAAACGAAGACGGCCGTCTCGGGTGTTGCAGCAAGGATGCTGTGGTCTCAAACAATAATTTCATTTCCTCACTATTATACGCGCAGCCTGTGCGGCACAGGTGTGATATTGCACGCAAAGCAAGTATGACACATCGAATAATTGCTATGATTTTTTTCGAGCCTCTATTTGCAAGGATACACAACTGTACAAGTAGATAGATCTGCACTGCATTCAAACACTTGGTAGCGCAATCAATATGTGAACGGTGGTTTTAAGGTCGGATTGGCGTTTTATGATATGCCCTTCTGTTTGCTCTTCTCCTCACGATGCAGGTAAATCAAACACACCAAATAAACCACCCACACTTTCTTAGTAGCGGTATGCAAGCTTAACCGAGCTGTATTCCTTCTGGAAAGCGTTTTACGGAGCATATCACTAGGCGAAAGCGTCTGGATTAGCGAAACAAACTATTGGAAACAACTATAATTCCCGAATCGAATCTAAAACAGATATCACAGTTCATTCTGTAAGTTTTACATTTAATCTAATACATGTACTGTACTACCTAGATCCAGAATATTGCATTTACTTCGAAGTAATACGGCTTAAACCCGGCTAAAAATGGGAGCGGTTTTTCTTTTCCTTTCAAAAGGTAGAGCATACTATAGCAGTACAACATTATTCGATATTTAAACATGTTATGATAACAATATTTGTTGATCGCAACTCTTGAAAGACTATTATTCAATACACAGGTCTCGAATCCGAAGAATTTGAATCGAGATCCTAACGCTGAAGTATTTCTTTGTACATATTCGTTCGCGCTGTATAATTTTTGATCTTTTCTTCGAACGGCCAGTTGTGCTTCAAGCAAGTCCGAGAAGCAACTCGGCCTCACTGCCCAGCGTAACATGTGCACCAGCTCAGATATTTTTAGCTAATGGAGAGGTCCACCAGATTCTATAAAGCTGTGACTCACAACTTAATGAAATTCACAGCTTGTCTCGACACTCATTCATAAAAACTTCTGTTTAAAAAAAAACGCTTTGAGCGGTCCTCTACTATCGAATTGACGGATTATGTGCTTTCTAAAAGAAAAAAATTATTGAAATAAATTGACAGATTCTGTAGACAACCTATTTTCAAAATATAATTAAAATGCATTGTGTAATCAGCATTTTTAAAATATTTTTAAAGAGCTTCTCTATTTTGCAATCATCGAATTTTGGAACCTTCGAATCTTAAAATATCACAAAACGGAAGAGTACGCAAGCATGAAAGCTAGTGTATTCACAGCAATCGAGTGTGTTGCAGGAAGAAATTGAGGAACAATGGAGGACACTTTTAGTAACTCAACATCTAGTTAGTATTCTGCGACGTAGAGGCTGATAGCTCCGTCAATCTTGTACGAGTTGCCAGTGTATGTCAAGGCTCCGGTCTCACCATTCACCTTGAACACGTACATGTCGTCCGATCCCTGGTTGGCCACAATCAGCCAGTCTTGGTAGATCACGAAACCACGCGGCGTCACACCACGCGAACTCTCCCAGTTAAGAGCCTTCAGTGTGCCATCGGCGTTGATCTTGTACGTGACAATTGAGTTGTGACCGCGGTTCGAAACGTACACAAACTTTCCGTTGCTGGACAAGTGAATATCGGCAGCCGTACTGGTGTTCGTGAATCCAGCAGGCAGCGTCGTGACGTTCTGGATAGCGGTGCTCGACAGCAGTGCAGCCTTCTTGTCGATAGTGTATACTCCGACAGTGTTCGACAGTTCGTCCGTGACGTAGGCAATGTCTCCCTTCGCACCGATAGCCATGTGGCGGGGTCCCGATCCAGCAGGGCGCTTGACAGTCGCCAGGCTCTTTAGCGTCTTCTTGGTCGCGTCCAGCTCGTACTGAAGGAGCTCGTCACCGCCAAGATTGGCAGCAACAACGTGGTTCGAGTTCGGCAACCACGTGGTGCTGTGGATGTGGCCCGTAGCTTGAGTGTCCATGACCACCTTACTTCCAACGGGGAAGTCCTGGTAAAAAGACTCGGCAGCAACAGAGCCATCAGCGTTAAGCGGGAACAGAGAGACGCTGCCGGCGTAGTTGGCAACCGAAGCGAAGTCCTCTTTGGGGCTAAGAGCAATGTGGGCAGGAGATGCTCCCTTCATCTCCTGTGAGTTAATGACCTTCAGAGTGCCGTTCGATTGCAGAGTCATCGCCGACAGGTAGCCAGAGGTGGACCCGCGGTTGAGCGCGTAGATGACACGCTCACCATTCGAGAACTTCTTCGTCGATCCCTGGACGTACGTCGGGTTGAGTCCCTTGGCCGCGAAGCTGAGGGGGGTGATTCCGTACGGCGTAAGGGAACCGTCCGCCGTGTTCAGCTTGAACGTGTTGATACCATTCGTGGTCTCCTTCGTCCAAGTAGCAGCGAACAGAATCGGCTGCGCAGTCGACTGTGTAGTAGCGGCAGAAACACCGGCCACGACAGCTACAAGGCAGAGGAAGAGACTAGGAAGACGCATGCTTGAGGTGGTCGATTCGGCGGTGGTAGACTGGACTTGTCGAATAGAATTGTGGTTCTCCTGCTGGGAGGTCCTATTCTCTGGCTTAGTAGGGTCCGGTAGGTTCATGCTCCTGCTGTAGGCGGTTGATGGCACGTTTGATGCTCGACAGGGCAGAGCACATCTGGAGATCAACAGTTGTTGTCTCGTTGGGTTTCTCCTTACCTTAGTGAGCCCCACCAACGGCCGCCACTATTATATGCCGTGGAGTTGACGCCATCCGATCATGCTCATGCCACTGGCGTTGCAAGTGCCGGAGGTGTCGATGATGAAGTCATTATGGTTGTGTACCGATTGCTTTGAAGCCTGAGTTAGGAGACAGCATGTATTTTAATTAGTTACTGTACATGTGACAGCCATACACTTACGGTAAGTAAACACTATTTACTAAACAGTACATTCCACAGCCGCTGTTGAGGAATTCAATACGACGACAGCGCTTGGGGCTGAGAGTTTGGGAATGAGTCAGAACACCTACATGTATGCCACCTGCAGTTGACGCCATCCGATCATGCTCATGCCACTGGCTTTGCAAGTGCCGGAGGTGTCGATGATGAAGTCATTGTGGTTGTGTACCGATTGCCTTGAAGCCTGAATGAGGAGACTACTTTATTTTAATGTATTAAAGTACGTAGGGAATAAAAAATTAAAAAATTACTAAAACATAGAAGACGGTTTGGAAAATTATTGCTCGAAGAACATTTGGAGTCCGTGTGCAGTTTGTAGACTGCAGACTCGCTGTGAACATGCACAAGGAATAAAGCTACATTTGCAGCCAAAAACACCCAGGACGAGCTCATAGTTGTGGTTTTATGCAAAACGGAAAGTGAGGCATTCAGACGAGAAAATCCATTAAAAATTTGATGGGGTTTTTTCGTCTGAATGCCATCCAACGGCATGGTTCATTTGAGTTATTCGGAACCCAAATCAAAAAGTCAATTTTTGGGTCATAATAGAATATGCTTGGATGGCATTCAGACGAAAAAACCACATCAATTTTTTTATTGATTCTTAGACGGAATTCGTCGGACATTCGTCGGACAACTGGATTCTCTATGACATATCATAGTTTATGCAAATTTTTTTTTTTTTTTACCAAAACTGCGGGATAATCTTTAATTAGCATCACTACCCCTCACTACGCTTCGTCTTCTTTGCTTGTCGAAAGAGCTTCCCAACAGTAGACCAGCTGAGCTGCCCTCGACGCCTTTTACGGGATCGCTCGGTTGTAGACTCGGCAGCAACACTATCTACACATGCCAGGTACATATTAGTGGCATCTTCGATACTTCTACAGTCTTGGAGCAGATTCTTTGATGTGGCATCGTGCTCCAGTTTCTTCATCACAAAACGAAGGTCACTCAAGCGCCTCTGCTGCTTTCTGTCAGGCACGTCTCGGCCGTCAAGAAGACGAAAATTCCAACCTCTCTGGAATACTAGGAAACATCAGTTTAACTCCAGTTTTCACCCATTCCTCGTGATCCTCAAAGTGTGGAGCCAAAATAGAAAACTGTAAACTCTCCGTAGGTAGACCAGCAACAGTGCGGCCGACGTGCATATCGCCAGCTACCTCGTATCGAAGTTATGTATTCTGGACACCTCCTAAGGACCAACCTGCTCGCAAATGTACTGCTGTCGATGATGGACACACAGTCGATCCAGACGAGCAGAACGTAGCCGCACCTTTTCGCATAGAATGAGTACCTAGCTCCGTAGCTTTAAGTCCCTGGCGGCTCAGCTCAGCGGCGACATCTTGCTGTGTCAGAATTCGTTGCAGCGACTTCCGAAACCGCTCGTATTGGTTGTTACCGGGAATAGTAAGTCTGTTCCGTCAAAATCATTACATGCCCAAAAGATCCCTAAAGCTAGAATTGGGCAAATTTCAGGTCGCAAAGGGTTAGCATATATGTGATGCGGGTCACGAGGACGATCACCACCTTGGTCATTCTTCATATGAGCAAAATAGATCTGCAATGCGTCGCCACGCCATTCCATATGAGAGTGTCGAATGCCAAATGCATTAGACGAACGACACATCACATTCCACGCAATCACCATGTATGTGTGCGAGAAAGTCATCTCCTTCGCCGGGTGAGCAAGCATCTTTTGGCAGAGAAGCGTGTACATATCAAACATCAGTGGATCTTTGCCTGTCTTGACGTCACCAATTCCGTTCCCCACGTCTTTAGCTAGCTTGTTTTTAGTCCTTTGAAGTGCCAGCTCCGACTCCAGCGTTTAACCACAGTAAATCCAAAATCCCGGTATAGATTGAACAATGCTGCCCTATGTGTATTGAGGGCTGAGTAGCTCAGAGGTCCACCATCTCTGCGATTTAGTGTCACCAACCAAGTGACAAAATCTTGTGCCGGGAGTTTATCGAAGTCCAGCGGTGGTGTAGTGCGATCTTGGGCAAGCTTCTGCTTCACATGAGCGCAAAGTTGCTGTTCTGTATAGTCTTCCACGTGGCCGATCGTTTCGATGAACCCACCAGACACGTAGGACTGTCTGTTGAACGCAGCCCACGCAAGGACGACTGTAGGAGTTTAAGTATGTAGTTCGTGAGCGGGGATTCACAGTGTTCTCGCGAATTTCACGGACTTCGCTCCGTAGCTTGACCCAATCATAGCCCTCCATTCTAGTTGTACACTTGTCTGATGTTTGAGGGGAGAATCGCACTTTGCGTTGTGAGCCTCACATTCAGATAGGAAAAGGAAAATCGCTTTTTCAGAAAATGTCAGACAGAATGTCCGACGCGTACCAATCAGATGGGTACGATGTCCGACAGATTCTGGGGAATGGGTTTTCTCGTCTGAATGCCATTCCGGCCAATCAGATCTCTCATGTCGCAGTATACATGTATACATCATTTCCGGCTTAGCAGTATATTATTGATGGATAAGGAATTAACAATTAATTTGCCGTGTCAGTCTTTGTATTAATGTAAATATTAAAATACAAGTTTAAAACACTTCAAGCATTGCACTGTATTAGTAGTAATTGTTTAATATTAGTTTAGTACGGATTACATGTAGTACATGAACACATTGCATATGACTTTTTTTGGCAGAAAGTACTACAGAATAATCAATGCAAGAAAGCGCTTTTTTTCATTTCTTCAAGCATTTTTAATTTTAAACTAATTTTCTTACTCAATAGTACGTAGTTTTACTTAGCCCTAGTAATTATCCTGGGATAGCAGTACGAAGTGCTGCAGAGCGATTAATTCGATTTTTATCTTGAAATTTGTATTCAAAAACGTCCGTCACGACCCCTTCATTTTTGTACCAGGGCTGTACCTCTACAATTCTTCCTGCAATATTTTGGCATTTTTTTTAAAGTTTTGGTTAACATGCCACCCTCGAAATTTCAAAGCTTCTTAGTGCGCAGCAGGACTAAGGCCCGCGCTATTGCTCAGTTGAAAGCATGCGTGCTGCAATAGAAAAACTGTCGCGTGAAGCACCGCTATAGCCGCTCGAACCGCGGGCGGCTTGGCAAACGCTGGCTGTACCCGGCGCTCGTTACAGACATCATCATCTCGCTGGAGCTTATTCTGCTGCTTATCCAGAAAATGTGCGAATACAACGCGCAGTTGGAAACGTCCTAGAAACTTTTCCATCCGCGTGGGTTCCTTTAGTAAAACAGTGGAAAGGAGCTAAGCAACAAATATTTTTACTTAGCCCAAGCCCCAAGGCGGTTTGAGGAGAGCTTTCAAGGTAATAACGCTTCCGTGACCCGATGCTATCCCAGCCTCCGCCCTAGTTTATTTATCAGGATGACAAACGAAGTACGCGTTCGTCGAGAATCTCGAGATACCCATGTAGATAGCTATGCTTGACAAGCCGAATGTTCGCTCTGGCAAGCTTATTGCAGCGATTGTTTTTATTATGTTTTATCGATTGCTGAAACTCCATTCATCAAGCAATGACCACAACTCTAATATTCAGTGACGTACAGGCACACTGCTGTGCCGATCTCGTACGAGTTACCCGTGTACTTCAGCAAACCCGTCTTGCTGTCCACCTTGAAAACATACATGTCGTTCGAGTTCTGGTTCGCCACGATCAGCCAGTTGCCGTAAACCGTGAAGCCACGCGGGGCATTGCCACGAGTGCTCTCAAAGCCCAGCGACGTCAGCGTGCCGTCCTTCTCATTGATCTTGAACATGGCAATGGAGTCGTGGCCTCGGTTCGATGTGTACAGGAACTTGCCGTCGCTCGACAGGTGGATGTCTGCGCTAGTACTGCTGTTCTTAAAATCCTCCGGCAGTGTCGTGATCTTCTGTAGCGCAGTCTTCGAAAGCACGGCCGCCTTCTTGTCGATTTCGTAGACGCCCACAGTGTTCGAGATCTCGTCCACAACGTACGCGATGTTTCCGTTGGGGTGGAGCGCCATGTGACGCGGTCCCGATCCAGGCGGACGGTTCACGGTCTTCAGACTCTTGAGCGTCTGCTTCTTCTCGTCAAGCTTGTACTGCAGCAGCTCGTCACTGCCAAGGTTAGCCGCGACGACGTTCTTGGAGTTAGGCAGCCACGTGGTGCTGTGGATGTGACCCGTGGCCTGCTGGTCCATGACCACCTCGCTTCCCTTCGGGAACTCCTGGTGGAAGGTCTCGTTGGCAAGAGAGCCGTCGTCGTTCAGTGGGAACATGGTGAGACTGCCACCGTAGTTAGAGATGACAACGAAGTCCTCGTGTGGGCTCAACGAGATGTGCGTTGGCGATCCACCGTGAGTCTCGAGTGTGTTAAGCAGCTCGAGCGTACCGTCATCGTTCAACGTGAGAGCCGACACGAATCCGGTTTGGGTGCCAGGGTGCTCTTTGGACTCGTCACTGACGGCGTTGATGGCGTAGATGACGCGCTCGCCGGTCTTGAACGCCTTGGTCGTGCCCTGGACGTACATAGGGTTGATGCCAAGAGGCGTGACTCCCCAGGGAGTCAGCGATCCGTCCGTCTCGTCGAGTTTGTACGTGTAGATACCCTTGCCCGTGCCATTGATCCAGCCCTCGTCGCGAGTGTAGGTTGCGGCAAACAGAATCGGCTGCGAGTTACTTTGCTGCTGTTGGGGCGAGCCGGCCGACGCGCCAGTCACAGCGGCCACGAAGGTTAGTACGAGAGTCGGAAGATGCATCTTGTCCACCCGGCTATTCGGTTCAGCACGATCTCGCAAATTGGAAAATGAGGCGATTGTCCTCCGGCCCCACACACACACATGTGCTATCCACTGATTAACAGTACAGCACCGTAAACGCCTCAATGAGGCCCTTACGGTGTGAAGCTAACGCGGGCACAAGAACGCTTCTATTCTATGGTTACGTCGTAGCGCATCCCGTCATCTTGAGCTTCTTGAGTACAATATGGGCACATCCGACTTTAAATCATAGGAACCCAAGCATTCTTTACATTTGCGGGAATGGAAGGTGCAAAACTCCGGCATCTGCGGTCTACAAGAACAGAGGGTGCAGTTGTTCAAAGCTCCATGCTGTTGGTGCAACATGTTCACTGTCAGTAAATCACCTTGGTTTATAAGTAAATGTAGCTTTTAGTTGGAAGGCCAACCAAACACTGGCAACAGTCAGTGCTCTTTGCTACAGTATAACGTAGAGCGATTAATTTTTTGTAAAGCGACAATTTTTTTCTGTATGACGTAGAGGATGGAAAGCCATAAACACTCGCCGATTTCGATTATCTTGAGGTTTTCCTGTTCGCTGTCCATCTGGAAAGTGTTTGCTGTGATCGCGCGATGCGGGATATGCCCTAGGATATGCATAATCAAAGTTCCGAGCAAACAACGTGGCTGCCATGACAGCCACGTACCACGAGATTCATGACTCATGAGTCTCCAGGATACCTTCGTCCTTGACTCAATGCAATTAAGTACAAGCCGGTGACGGGTACACTTCTATCCATCACTACGTCGGTTCAACTCATTCGAGATGCTGGATTTTTGTAGTTTCATAAAGGCGAACAGCAAAAAAAAATTTTTTTACATGAATTAATCCACGTACGTTAGCCTTGTGTCAAGACTCTGCCCAGAGGATGTAGTCTTGTCATCACCGTCGTTATCATCATCTGTGGTGGCCTCTTGTACAACTGACGCCCACTGTGCCATCTTCTTCATGCCGTCGATGGTCAGCAGCTCCACAAACTCTGGATGCGCCTGCCACGCGAACATCCACTCTTGCTCGCAAATGTAGTCGTCCTGATCCAAGTCGGCTTCACGGAAGATCTGATTTACAGCAAGAGGAATTTCTTTTTCCACCTCCTCCATCAGTTCCTCGATGGCTTGGACACTACTCGCCATCGCAGCGTCTTGGACTGAAGACAGTTCTTCGACCTGCTCGTTCGCCATTTGGATTTGTACTTGGTCACGCAGAAGCTTGGGGAAGAGCTTCTTTACAGCGCGAATCCGCCGCTGCATCGCTTGGGTCAACTCCTCGCGAGTAATTTTGCCATCCCCCGTTTTGTTGACAATCTCAAACAGACTGTGCGCCTTCTGCTCGAACGTGCCCTTAGTCATCAGATACACGCCCACTACGAACTCATCTAGCGAGAGCCAATCCTTTGGGGTGGTATGAGTCTCAAAACTCGAAAACACCGCTCCGGCAAGCGCTGCACTCTCACTAATGTCCTTCATGTCTTCGTACTCGTCATATTCTTCGCTTAGAGCCAAACAAGCTGCTGTAAACCCGCCATAATAAAGCTTGCCGTCCTTATCAGCGTAGTCGGTGAAAATATCAGCCAGGTCGCTATAAGTTTGGGCAGAAATACCACCTTTAATGCGGCGTGATGCCCTGGCCTTTGCCGTTCGTTTTGCCGCTTCATCGTCTTCGTCAGTTGCAGAGACTGCCTTTGCAACGCCGTTATCAGTTCTCTCATTCGCGACAGTTTTTCCAGTCGATTCTTCCGTCGGCTCTGGTTTCACAGGAGCTTGTGGAATTGGCCGAGGCGACGTCCCGTACATCTTCCTCGCACGTCCAATGAATGCATTGAGTTGCGTAAGGGCGACGTCATCGAAGAAGAGCTGGATGGCATTGGCGTGCAGGAACGACGATACCTCGAATGTCACCTTGAAGTCAACCTCGCAGCTTCCAGGCGTAGAACACGGCTTGAAAACCCACTCACTATCCACAACACGACACAATGCAGCTAGCGATCAATAACTAGACAGCTCCGTCACATGCAATACGCTATCAATATTTAGCAACCTCTCGATCCGCTTGAATGTCGGCGAGTCAATCGCTTTTGTCGCGATTTTATTGGGTCTATAACATACACGATTGCAACATAATAAACAAAAATCATCAGTCTCTTCAATCCTAGAGCTCATACAGAGTGTCCTTAAAGCGACTTCGGTATGTTTTGCCTCGAAAGGGTTAAAGTATCCAGGATTTGGATTCCAGGTGAATAGATATGAGACGCACCGGATCATGAGCACGCGGGACGTATACGACTCTGTAAAGAGTTTGAAGCCGACGCGTAACGCTGCCTCCATTACGTTTTCATTGGGCCTCCGCAGCACGCGTGACTCAACGCAGAAGGGCAGGAATTCGCTGTAGCGCTGCACATCCGCCACCACATCGAACATCTCGGCGCAGGAGAAAGGCACAACACGCGTCTCGGTGTGCGACTTGACCAGCGAGCGAGATGGCGATGGGAATGAGAAGAACGAGGCGCGGCTGGCCAAGTACGGGCTTCTCGCCCTCAGCACGCGCAGGTGGCGCTGGTGCAGCCGCATCGCCATCATCACCTCACAATTCAAAGTGCGACGTTTGTGTGACTGACGCTGTGGACGGAGTTTCAACCAATCAAATGACGGATTCTATCGTTGCCAATGGCAGCCTGCCATAGTGAAAAGCTGTTGAGATGTCGAGCTACTTCCCAGAGGTGCGTCGTGGACGAAATTGAACTGTCAATTGCAGTGGCTGCAAGGGGGAAAGCTGACGGCACTTCTTTCGCTGCCTCGTAGACGATCCCGCCGACAGTTCCGTTAACGAAGGAGCTGGAGGCGCTTCTTGAGTTTTTGATGCATCAGAAGCCTACGTCGGTTGGAGACAGGGAGTTCAATGGTTGGTGTGTGTGTGTGTGCTAAAGTGTAGCTGGTGTGCTTGCTAACTCGCCGGTGGGCAGAGTTATCGCACCTGAGCGAGAAGGACTTGGATGTCAAGATCCGCGAGCTTGAAAACTGGAACTTCCGGCTTAATCTTGACGAATGTACGTTCGTTCGCGCTGCAGTTTTTTGTCTTTGCCTGAACGGTTGTGTCTGACGGTACCTTTGCGGTGGTGGCATCCAGCGAAAGAGATGCAGGACAGTATCAGCCTTGGGATCGTCGGAAACGAGCAGAAGCCGTCAGCCTCTTAAAGATGAAGGGTTGTACGTTACGAATTGCTGTTTGTTTGAGAGCGTCAACGTAAAAGCTGCTCGTCTTGCTGAGCGGTGCGGTAATCCCAGCCGCGTCGTCGGCTTACCAGAGCGATTATTGACTGGGCACAACATACCCAGAAACATTCACGTCAACTCCAGCTGCACCCTCTAACTTGCCTCGTCATATCGTACTTAACGTTTGGAAGAACCGAAATTGTTCTGGCGGCGGTGACACGCTCGTCTCCGCACATTTCCTCGCAACACGCTGATATGCAAACACGGCGAGCGGCAGGCAGCAGCTCTGTGGCTGCCGTGTCTGCATCTCCCGTATTAGTAGCTCCAGTTCCATCATCTAAAGTTGCCAGCAAGAAGCGCACGCGACGCCAATGCTCAAATCCCGACTGCACCAAAGTAGACGCTGGCGGAGGCTTCTGCGTGGCTCATGGAGGCGGCAAGAAGTGCTCGTTTCCTGGATGCACTAAAGGTTACCAGACCGGAGGCTTCTGCAGACAACACGGCGGCGGTGCTCGCTGTCAGGTGGATGGGTGTGGAAAGGTGGACGCTGGTAGGGGTTTATGTCGAGCGCATGGCGGAGGCAGAAGGTGCCAGATCGCTGAGTGTCCGAAGGCTGATGTTGGTGGAGGCTTTTGCACAGCCCATGGAGGCGGTAAGCGCTGTTCCGAGCCAGGATGCACCAAGATTGACCAGGGAGGAGGCAAGTGCCGAGCACATGGTGGAGCCAGACGATGTCGACGACGCAACTGCCAGCAGCCAGCTCGAGGCTCAACGGGCTTCTGCACAGAACATGGTGGTGCACGGGTGTGCTCTGTGTTGAGCTGTAGAAGACTGGTGCGCTCGCCGAATGATACTGGAACGATGTGTGCGACGTGTGCAAGGAGTCAAAAGCAGAGATCAACAGTAAAGCCCACGCAGGACGACACCAGCGATCACTCCAACGAGAGTCCACGAAACAGTGCGATACCTACTCCAGAAGGTTCGGGTGCGTCAGTCTTGGCGCCATTCCCACCATTGTCTCCAAATTCAGCGAATGCGCGCTGTGACGGCTCTCAAGTCGCCAACTGCTTGGACAATGGCTGCGCACGTAGTTTTGGAGGCGCTTGCAATTGTGTCAAGGATTGTACTTGCAATAGTCCAACCTCGCTGCCTACGCCACGAATGGCTCCAATGCTGGTGAGTAGCAACACCATCACACGCGTTGCATCCACGAGTCAGAATATGAGCTCCAGTGTCGGCGAATTTGAATCTCTTGTCGGCTCATTGGCGCCAAGAGCAACCATGATGCGGCGATATGTTGTTCAGGTCAAGCCACATTCAAGTTTAATGGGTGTCGAGACCGTAATGGCGGTGTTGGCAACAATAGCAGGAGTGCGGAGTGTGCATCTGATCCCAGAAAGCTCTGCTCGACCTTCTTCTACTACGGAAGTGGCAAGTGATTCTAAGCCAAACGCAGTCCGATCATCACGACTTATAGCGGTGCGTGGAGGGCCATCATTAGACCTGGACACGAGCTTGGCACCCCTGAAAAATCTCCAGATTACCGAGGTCAACGTCATTGAACAGTCAACAACTGCATGGACCCGAAAAGAAGTGGTGCTGCGTGTGCCTGACATGATGTGTCCTGCAAACTGCGGTTCGTCGGTGCTCAATGCAGTCCGAGCTCTTGAAGGCGTGGAGGCAGCTAGGCTGCGCTTCGAGCACCGTCAAATTGTTATACGTGGAGATATGACAGTCGAAGCCATTCGGACTGCTGTATCCGACATTGGGTTTGACTCGGAGGTGAACGCAGAGACTCCACTGCCCCGTCGATTTAGATTCCGTGTCGATGATCTGGGTGACGTGGGTTTAAACGGCGTTAAACTCAAAGATGCCTTGATGGCTGTGGAAGGTGTTGAGAACCTCGTGCTCTTGACGGATCGTGTTGAAGTTCTGGTAGTGGCGATGCTATTGAGCGCGAACCCGCTCGTGAAAGCTGCAGAGCGTGTTGGTTTTGAGATGCTGGAGCTGTCAGAAGAAGCGTGGGGGATTCCGATGGAGATTGTGCCAGCTTCATCGAACGATGCAGGATCCAACTCAACAAGTGAGTACTATCAATCTCACAAGTGCGATATGCGCATTTGCCCTCAAAATGGTTGTCCGAGGTACATGACCACCGTAGCTCATACAGCAGCGCTAGCTGTCGGCTGGGCCGTACCAGGGTGCGGCATGTCCTCTGGAGGGGAATGCACATGCGGCGATAGCTGCAAGTGCGTGGGTTGTCCAGAACATAATCCCGCGTCCTGAGTTGCTCTTCGTGTAGTTTCCTCGTTAGCGTGCTGTTACCGTTTTTAAGGCCACCCCGAGAATTAAATATTTTTTCTCCAAGCTGGTACTGCGCGCGGCTGAATTGGTATGTGTCCGAAGCTCTTGACCTTGACGTCAGGAATTGCTTTCTTGCCAGGGATGTAGGCATCATGCGCATTTTGGCGTTCTCTACGTCGTTCCTTTCTCCGAATCTCTTCCTTACTGAGACCCCGGGCTTTGGAAGCTTCGGTCGGGTTGAACACCATCGCTGGTTTTGGCAAAGTGATAGCATTTTCGTCGCTTGTCTTGGTCTCTGGACGAGGGGGCAGGCGTTGTTGTTTTTGCCTTCGCTCTTCAATTTGCTGAAGCCGTAGACGCTTTGCCTTGGCATACTCAATAGCGATTCGAGAGCGCTCGACTAAATCCTCGTTAGAGGTCTAGGCAACATGGCGAATAAGTATGCGTACCAAACAACACTAGTGATGATTGGTAGCAACGTACTGGAGATGAAAATGACAGTGACATATCATCTGTTATACCGTCCTGTCGGCGCTTTGCTGTGCGGTCCAGCATCATAGCCTCTTGCTCTTTCTGTAGTTTGTATAATATAATTTTTTGCTTGGCATCCAAGTGCTCTTGTTTTCGCTAGTAACATTAAAAGGGTGATTTTAGCTAGTAATACGATACATTGGCAATTATCCTTATCCACTCACCTTTGCTTCTAATGCGTCACGCTTCTTTTGTAGCTCTCGTCTTCGTTGTGCCTGTTCTTCTTCTTTCTGTTTCTTTTCTCGTTTCCACTGTTCCAGTAAACGCTCGGTCTTTTCTCGTGATTTCTGCTTTGCTCTGTCGCTCTGTTCGCGAGAGGAAGCGTCACGACTGTTTTCTGGTCCATCAAAGCTACCAAGCACGTTTCCGTCGGCGTCAAAACCACACTGAATAATTTGCTGGCGTTCTTCTTCCTTTCTCATTTTCCAACCCTGGATCACGCCCTTTTTCTCTTCTACAAGCTCGAGGTGTCGAAGGTACCACTCAAAATGCGACCGTATCGAGCTATCTGTCTGAGTGACAATCTTCCGCATACATTTTCGAAGAAATCGCGCTACTCGAGTTTCATAATCGCTCTGGCTATTGGTCTGAGTTTGCCCCTCGTGATTTGTATCTTGGTTTGAAGTACTATATCGCAGCGTGTGAGTTTTCAAGTCTTCGGGGAGAGAATGCTGCAGTAATACATCATCAGTGAGACCGCATTTTACCAGCAATGTGGTAAATGTTGCATGCTCTCGGTTATCCCAGCCACCCATTAATCCACCCGACCGAAGTATTGCTTCGTTCAACCGACGCACCCGATTTATCATGCCAATCTCATCTGGAGTACCTGTGATTACTGTTTGATCCTCCTCTTGGTTCCCACCGCTGCAATTAACGCTCTCATCGCCATTATTTCTTTCGCTTTGCCCTCGAGAAGTGAGAGCATGCAAATTAGATGAGCTCTTACTGCTCAGATGCGCCCACCTCGATCCCAAAGACGTTGAACTGGCACCACCTCGACTTAACTGCGGTTCATTCTCCCAACTCTCCATCTTCTCCATAAACGCTGCCAGTTCTTTCTCAAGCACTTTTTCTTCTAACACATACCCCTCAAAATGCTGTAGTTGTTCCAGTCGAAACTTTGCTAAGGCCGCTTCCATCGCATCAATCCTTTCCTGGAGTTCCGAGAAAAAATGGTCTCCATTCGCGATCTCCTCGACCTTCATTTGTACATCGTTCAGCTTGCTACTCAGTTTACTTAACTGATGTTTCATCTTATGTACATCTTCCTCCCTTAACGTCTCCATCTCTTCAAACAACTTATTCACCTCAGTAGGAGATACAAACCCCGTAGATGAAGTCGAAGCCCCCGCACCAGCGAAGAATCCCTGCCATGCCTTCCTACATTCTCTCTCTAACGTCGCCACCCTCGTCTTGTACTGCAGCTTCTTCTCCATCCATTCAGCTTCCAGTTTCCCCATCCGTCTTCTACTGTCACTCTTCTCGTCTGGAGTTCGTCCTCTTCTCCTAACAGCAACTATCTCTCTCTTCGTCTTCGGCTTTGTCGGGCGCAGCTCATCATCACCTGGCCTCTCGCTGCGCTCTGTCTGTACTCCCCGACGAGAAGCCGCCACTTTATCTCGTAGTCGAGCAGACGTAGAGACGTTTCCTTTGCTCTGCAGTCGCTCTTGTACGATAACATCCACAGTGCGAGATGCGAGCGGGTCTTCAGGCTGCTGGACGTCGTAGAGGGAGGAAGGGACACCTCCGCTGTGGTTCAGATGCTCCTCACGTACCGCATTGTCGTTGGCCTCCCGTAGCCGACGTAGACGTTGTAGCTGCTGTCGGCCAAGCGGCCGCGTGCGCGTGGACTGGTGCATGGAGTGCGGAATGCAGGGGTGAAGGTCAGCGTCGCTTCAACTTGAACCAAAACTAACGTTATATTGATCGAACGTTTGTTATTTTTAAATCTAACGTTGTTTTTAATGTCAGATTGGCGGTCTTCTGCGAGGGAAATGGAGGCGACGGCGACGATGGATATCGTTGTGGTCTACAAGCGCCAGGAGTGCGTTAAATCGCAGCAATAGCTGTGGATTGCGCCAAGATGCATGCGTGCTAACCTTGTGCGTCTGTGTGTCATGTTCCCGTTCTCATCGCAGATATTACGTTGCAACACAAGCTTCATCAGATCGGAAGACGCTTCTAGTAGATCTACTGCAATGCCAGCTGCTATCTCTCTTGGGAGCGATGCCAGAAGAGCAGACCTTGATGTCCTCCAGTGGGGAGATCCTGTACTCACCTAGCAAGAGTGATGTGGCCACCATCGCAGTGTCCATCGAGACTCGACCTCGGTTCTTCCTCTTTTCGAGATCTGAATCCAGCCCTAAAGTGCCGGAAATGGCAAGTGACTGGCGACAAATCTGCACAAAGTGTACCTTCGGAGACACTGCAGTGGTACAACCAGCCTTTCGAAAGATTTCGCCGAGTGGAGGGGACCCACTAGCTACTCTCATCTGTGAACCATGTGCCAGGACCTGCACGACAGGTAGGTGAGCTGTGGTTGGCAAAAATTATGACCAAGTCCTTATGACTACACTGTTTGCTGCAGATTTCCAGCCTGTAAACCCTATGGAGTGGAATGCGTCCGATACATTAACGTCGCGGTTCATCTCTGATGTCACTATTGTTGCCGGTGAAGTGGACATCGCTGCGCCGTCAGGGTTCATGAAGCTGCCTGTGGATTTGAATTACTCTGCGTCGGGTGACTATGTGTATCTATGTGTAAAGCGTGGTGGACTGCGTGCGCTGACGCAGCTCCACGTGCTCGTTGGACAACATGAAGACGCAGTGGATACCTCCACTTCAGCCGGAGACCCAGAAAAAGTGATTAATGTCGATTGTAACAGCGGTGATCCGACTGAAACGAGTATTCATATCGGGTATGACTCGGTGCAACTCAAAGGTAACATGGAGCAGCTTGAGACGCTGGCTATCACTGACATCGCTGTTGTTGTCGGCGATCAACCCGCCCCATCGTCCGAGTACATAAAGATTACACGGAATCTGAACGAAGGTGCTTTAGGCTCTGAATCTGTGTTCCTGTACTATCGACTGGCACCTCTCGGTGGATTCGTGTGCGATTCGAGTCGAGAGCACAGCGAGTTCGGTGAGTGTCTTTTTGGAGCTCGTCATTTGGCTGGAGTGAAAAGTATACTTGATTTAAATGCGTCGCAATTGAGTGCTCAAACTACGTTGGCAGCCGATCGTCGACGTGGGGATATGACGTTAATGGATGCTCACTATCGTCAACACCAGCCAGGTATGTTGCAGCGACTACAGAGTGGATTGCAGCGAGCACAGTCCTATGAGAATAAGCAGATGCAAGAGGAAGCGCTCAAGCGTATCCCAGTGGAAACGCTACACGAACGCGCACGAGCTAACCCGTCGCCAATGCCGTCGTACCAGGATGAGCTGGTCAAACAGTTACTCCATTGGTTTAAGCGCGAGTTCTTTACGTGGATGAACCAGCCTCGATGCTCGGCTTGTAACCACGAGAGGACTCGATCAGTGCGAACAGAAGGACCCAATACTCCCGAAGAAAGAGCTGGCCAAGCAAGTCGTGTTGAGGTGTACATGTGTTCCGCATGTAGAGCCTTCACTCGATTCCCTCGTTATAATGATCCAGTTAAGCTGCTAGATACTCGTACTGGACGTTGCGGCGAATGGGCGAACTGCTTTACTCTCTGTTGTCGTGCGATGGGCTTCGAGGCACGTTACGTTTTGGATGTGACGGACCATGTGTGGACGGAGGTATACTCGGAGCATTTTAAGCGATGGCTACACTGTGATTCGTGCGAAGATCAACTTGATTGTCCTCTGACGTATGAGGTCGGCTGGGGTAAAAACCTGTCGTACATTTTCTCATTCGCTCATGACGAAGTGGCTGACACGGCGAGGAGATACACCCAGAACTGGGCCGAGATGCGCGCAAGACGTCAAGATGTCAGCGAAACGTGGCTACAGACGACTATCAGCCAGATTAACCAGAGCTTACGCGAGCGGCAAACCCCGGAGAGAGTAGCAATTTTGACAGCACGTGCTCAAAGCGAGCGTGAGGAGCTACTTCGTGGACGCTCTGTTCAAAAGTCGGAGGTTAAGGGCCGTGTGTCAGGCTCTGCTGAATGGAAAAGTCAACGGAAGGAAGATGGAAAGGAAGGAGATGTACCCAAAGACGCTGCAAGCTCGTCGGCTTCAGTGAAGCCAGCCTCTGCTGTGTCAGCTGCAGATATTCTGCAGGATATCTGTAGGAATCTGGTGGTTGGTTGTCAATCTCCAGGATGTTCGAACCCCTATTGCTTTACTGGTCGCACGGGATTGAGTTTCCCAGAAGTATCCGATGTCAATGAGCGAGCTGCACAAGCTATTCAAGTGGTGACAGCTCTGAGTGCAAAGGGACTCTCGTCGGAATCCCTGTTGCAGTTGCAGTGTTCAAAGAGGTTGGAGCTCCGCAGCCTTCTGTGGAGAAAACACCCATTGTTGTATTTGCCGTTGCAAGATCCTCCTTCCAGAGATGGCAGTGTGCCTTTGATCGACATTTCGGGTCATGATCGTCACGTGGAGAACTCGCAGCACTGTGCACTTCGTAAACCTTTCCGGATTCCACTTTCAGGCCGGGCAATTGATACTGATAACGGGAATCAAAACGGTGATGGAGCGTTTGGAATGCTGCTGCATGGAGGCAAATTCTTAGCTATCCCTGGAGAGGTTGTGCCACACGCCACCGGCATTGTGCTATCATTTCTCGTGCGCATCGATCAAATTGAGGGACTGACAGCAAAGAAATCGGATGTGGTGACTGCTCTAAATATGAAGCTGGATGCTGCCAACTCAGCAACCTCGGTGGAATTTCGTGTCAGCTGGAGTCAAACTCAGCGGGAGTTCTCTTGTGAGCTTGAGGCCGATAATAAGGCGCAGAAGGGTAGCGTGGTGCTAGCGTTTGGACAATATGCACATGTCACTATAGTGCGAGGCGAACACTCTATCACAGCTTACGTCAACGGAATGGAGGCAGCAGTGCTGGATGGAGATTTTCAAGCGAGTGGACAAGATATCACTATACAGGGACCTGCGAGTGGCTCTTCGGATCTCACTGCTGTTATCAGTCATGTAGCCGTGATCCCAACGAAGACTCTTGAAGATGTAAAAGCTTTCTGTGCCGACATGAAAGAGAACTTCGTATCTGCTCCACCATTGAAGGCATTTGGACCCAATGGAGAGCGCGGTGATGAGAGATGTTCTGAAGCTGTAGCTGGAGCGCAGTCAGGATATCGTGTTGCACGAGTCTTGAGTACGTCGAGTACTTCTCTTTGTATTCGTACGAAAAAGAGGTGGCTACGTGGGTTCTAACAGTATTTTGTTGTCGTTGTTGAATGAAGTGTGGGGTGGTGAATTCTTCGACGGACTCCAGTTTGTGTACCAAAACGTCAGCGACGCAAATGCTACGTCTACAGTTTTCGGTACGCTGGTGGGAAATGGCACCGCCAAGCGTCAAGCATCACAACCTACCATCACTCTTGATTTGCTTGAGGATGAGGTTGTTACGCGAGTGAGTGGACGTAAAGGTGCTTGGACCGATAGCATCTCCTTGCACACCAATTTTGAGCGTACAATTACTTGTGGAGGCAAGGGAGGGGGCGACTTCACTGTACCAACACCAGCAAATACGGAGATCCGCTCGATCGTGTTCAAGGTTGGAGATCATTTGACTGATCTCAGCGCTTTTGTGCTCGAGTCTTCGCTGATCAGTTTAACCGAAGGTACGATCGTCGTTTGCCTTAATTGAATTATATCTTCGAGAAACACTTATGAACTCAATGTGATAGGCAAAACAATACAGGAGCTCAAGAGATTGCTGTCGTCCAGCGAGCCTTCATCTCGCCAGAACGCCATTTCTGCAGGTATGAATCCATGTATTTAAAGACAACTGCTGGTATTCCATCACTGACTACGACTCGTGCTATCTCAATCCAGCGTTGCGGTATCTAGATAACATCGCGCGACAACCGGAGGACCCTAAATTCCAGTGTATTCGCGCTAGCAACAAGTTTTTCGCTTCGAACGTGGGAGCGCTTGGAGTTGAACCGGCCAAGTCATTCATGCTCTGGTGCGGCTTCGAAGAGATCTCTGAGCAAGGAGAGCAGTTCTTCACTTTCAAGCCATCGCAAATGCATGCCAAGACATCACCACAGCGGTTGGCAGCGGAAGCCCACAAGCGGGCTCATTTTCTCAAGAATGTCGGTACACAATAAGAGTGCGTTTAACGATTAGTTGGTATATGAACGCACAATCAATACCGAGAAAAAGCAAACGGCTAGTACAGTGTATGTAGCGTAAATGAAAGCTTGCCTGAGTTTCTCGTGGTAGCTGAATGGACTGCTTTACAATCGTGAAGCTTAACGGAACTGAGACTTGAGCACCAAGAGGCGACCGTCAATGGCATCCACTTCCACATCACAAATCGTGCGAAGGATGTCCTTGAGCAGTGCCTTGTCATTGTCCGTGACGATCAGTTTCTTCAGCTTGCGAAGCAGATCACGCGTGCGCATACGTCCACCGTAGCGGATCAATTCCTGCTGCACACCAGCTTCCGTGAGTTTGTTCTGCGACGAAGCGGCTGACGTCTTAACCACCTTTGCCGGCGTGTCCTCCTTCGCGCGACTGTCATCTTCTTTGCGCTTGCCAGTAACACTTCCACTAGATGCCGTCGAGCCCTTCATCTTACTATTCGCGTCCACAGTATTGCCATCTGCGGCATTCACTCCAGTCTTGGCCTCAGCAGAAGCTCCACTCTCACTCGATACAGTGGAGCGATCCCGGATGATGTTTCCACCCAAGTCGCGCTTGATGACGTCCATGTCCTTGGCGGTGAAATTGTCATCTTCCTCGTCATCGTCGTCCTCGTCCTTCTCCTTGTTGTTCTCCAGCATCTCTCCGTTCTGAGCACGCTTGAGCAAGTCCTTCATAGCCTGGCCGGTCTCCGTCAACTTGCCCGTTCCCTCCGGATCCACTTCAAACTCGTCTTCATCCGAGTCGGACTCGAGTCCCTGCGGTTGGTCATTGTGGATCTCTGCGTCACTTTCATCATCATCGAATTTCTCCTCAAAGTCTCCTCCATCTTCACCGGTAGCTCCTTCTCCTCCACGAGGCTTGGGGCGCGCGACACGGCGAGGGCGCGCCTCCGTCACGCCAAAGATGTCGTCACCTTCAGCCTTGGGCTTGGCGGAGGCCGTGGGCAGCGCGCCGGTACGTACACGTGGAGCACTGACCGTATCTCCTCCAGCATCGTTCTTATCCTCGCCTGCGAGCTTGTGTTTCATGAGCCAGCGCTCGACGGCGCGTTTCTTCTCATTGTTCATCTCCTCAGCCTCCTCGAGCGTGAGCGTACGGTAGTTTAAAGGCTTCTTGAAGCGGAACCACTGCTCCACAGGCATGACGCTGAATTCGTCATTGTGACGGTTCTTAACCAGCAGCATGTATGTGGACGACTGGCCGCCCTCAAAGGTGCCGTTAAACTTGTTCTTTCCTTCGCTGTCCTCGATGACCCAGCCAGCCGTACGTGTGTCCTTACGGCGGCGGCGACGGCGCTTGCGCAGAGCCGGGTTGTATCCCACGGGCGCTTCATCCTCCTTCTCTTCTTCCTCGTCCACGCGCTCAGGCTCGCGATACATCATGACGGGCTGTGCACACGAACTGAAATGCGGCAGCTCCGGCAGGTCGAAGCGAGCGATGTTGTAGCGCTTGATGGAAGGCGTCGCACGCAGCACCATCGTATCCATCTCCGGTGTGGAGGAAGCAGCAGCGCGACCATTATTGCGTGCATTACGGTTGGGTGAGGGACGACTCATTTTGGGGAAATGAAACAAGAGGGGGTTAGACCTCTCTTGTTTCATTCTTTTGGTTTCTGGGTTCATTTACTAAAAGTAGAACTTTCGATATGCAATACTATAGGCTTGGATGGCATTCAGACGAAAAAAACCCATTAAAATTTTAATGGGTTTTTTCGTCTGAATGCCATCCGAGCCAATCAGCATGCGTCACGACGAGTTTTCGGAACTATGTTATAATCCAACTAAGCCTATATTATTACGCTGCTCCCTCTCTCCGTCGGATTCCACCAATCAAATCAATCTTAGTTAGAGCATCTCCACCGGTTGTGAGTAAAACTAAATTTTGGCTCTTTTCTAGCCAAATTTACTCAAATATTTAGTTTGGTCCACTCCATCGGTTGAGTAAAATTTTGAGCAAATTACGTTTGACTTTACTCACGCGGGATTTTTGAGCAAGTTTGCTCACGAGGGAGCTTTGTGTAGAGCTATGCGCAAATCGCCATCCAACGAAGAACTCGCGCGCAGCATGATGTCTCCAAGCCAAACTCCGTCGCTGGAGCTGGCCCAGAGAACGTTAGCCGCCCCGCCAACACCCCTCACGCCATTGACTCCATCCCTACAACTCGCTCAAGACGCCGTAGCCACTACTGCATCGCCTCCAATTCCGACAGCCAGTGCTCATTTTGTAGGAAACGAGAACAGCAGCAACTCCAACGCCTCTCTGACGTCGCAGCGCAGTCTCTCCGCCAATAGTGAGGAAGAGGTCGCAGAACTGGTAGCTGCAGTGGTGGAAAGCGCGGGCTTGCTGGATACTGCCCTAGCGTCATCCACGAACACGATCAAGAAGGGAAAGAACTTCGTCCCCGATGAAGACTTGAAGTTAGCCGCAGCGTGGCTTGAAATATCGGGAGACCCTGTTGTGGGAAATGAGCAAAAGCTGAAGGTGTTTTGGGAGAAGGTGCACGACAGCTTCGTCGATCGATTAACCTCGTCGGGCTATGATATGTCCAAGCATCAACGCGGGGTTAATAGTTTGCGCACACGATGGCGTACGCTGCAAGCAACTTGCAACAAGTTTGCTGACTGCTATGCAGCCGTTCTTACTCGCAACGAGAGTGGCAAGACTGTTGAGGACAAAACTGTAGATGCACACGCTATCTATCGCGAGCAAAATGGTACTCAATTTAAAAGCCAGGGTGTGTGGACTCTTCTTCGAAACTCGCCCAAGTGGATGGAGTCCATCACCGCGAAGAAAACTCGAAAGCGACCGAGCAGCTCTTCAAATGACCATACTGACGAACACGATACCCAAACCGCTCATGACGCCAATCAAGAGCGCCCCATCGGTCGAAAGGCTGCCAAAAAGACTCTAGAGATGGAGAAAAGCTTCATTGTGCTAGTTGCAAAATTGACAAAAGAAACGGAGGCTAAGAATCGCCTTCTCAAAGAGGCAACATCCGATCAGATTATGGCGCGCAACATGGAGGGTATGACACCGGTATAGCGTCGCTACTATGAGCTTAAGCAAGCTCAGATTTTGGAGAACTTGCAAAAGGAGATGGATGCGCGAGAGTAGAATGGCAATATGCCATCAAGAGACGTTTGTGAACCAGTGTCCACGGGTACTCTAAATGCTATAACTAAGATGCAGCTTCGTTGTGTCTTGTGCTGCGAATTCGCTATTGAACAACGGTGGCGCGAGTATCCTGTTTGTAATGTTACGGATTTCGAGCGTGTTCTAACTCCTACAGTGCGAGTTCATAAATGAAAGAGCGAGTAATAATTGTCATTTAGTTATACAGTGTTCTTCTCCAAGAAATTCGAGTAAATATGGTAATTTCCCTCTGGCTGTTGTGCTATGATCGTTTCGTATATTTCAGAGGTGACGGTCAGATCCCTATATTGAATGGTTACCTTTGAGATCCCACAAGTGCTGCACCAAATCTGTTTTCAGTTGCAGGTGTTGTTGTGTGCTGCGCAAAGCTTGGTGGCGAGCGATAAAATGATCTAAATCGCTGGTAGTCTCTCGTGACGGGTCAAGTGGAGCGGCGTTGTCGTAGACGTATGGCAGACCCTCGCCTCGTTCGTCTTCAACTATCATATTGTGCAGGATAATGCACGCTTTCATGATCATACAGAGATCCTTGTGGCTCCAAAATCGCGCAGGCCCTTTCACAATAGCCCAGCGTGACTGTAAAACTCCAAAACCACGCTCAACGTCTTTCCTAGCACCCTCTTGTGATTTGGCAAAATGTCTTTGCTTGTTATCCGTCGGATTCGAAATTGTTTGTACTAGAGCTGCCCATGGTGGGTATATTCCTAAGCAAAACATGAATCAGATCAGTCACAGTCAAAGCACATTGACAGAACGATGCATGCACCTTACCGTCCGCTAAATAATAGCCGATGTCGTAGGAGTTGCCGTTGATCACGTAGTCACACGGAGGTGCAGTCATATTGGAAATTCTTGAGAAGAGATCCGAGCGGTCCAGTACATTGATGTCAATATGAGATCCAGGCATGCCAAAAAATGCGTGCCAGAACCATAAATCGCGCGATACGACTGCTTCCAGAACAATTGTAGGTTTTGATTCCTTGCCTGTGTACTGTCCTGCCCACGCGGTTGGACAGTTTTTCCAAGCCCAGTGCATGCAGTCTAGGCTACCTAGCATGCCAACAAAGCCGCGCTTGTTATGCATAGCCAGAAGCCGCTCAACGTCAGCAGCCGTTGGTGCCCGCAGGTATTCCTCGCCGAACACATCGTCTACCGCAGTGCAGAATCTCTTTAAACTTTTGATCGCAGTAGTCTGCGCGATGCCGACGTACTCAGCAACAGCATCAGCAGGCATGCCATAGGCGAGTTGACGGATGGCAGCGGTGCACTTTTGAAGTGCCGAGAATCCAAGCTTGCCCGTAGCATCACGTCTCTGCTGGAAGTAACGGTCATGGGTTTCCACAGCACTAACAACGCGTAGATAGAGAGACCGACGCATGCGAAACCTCCGGCGGAAAGTTTGAGCGTTGTAGATGGCGTTTTCAGCGAAGTAATCTTGAACAAGACGGCGATGACCCTCTACGGCTTCTCGGTCTACGTTTGCGCTTCGTCCTGTAGATGATCCGCGCGCAGCTGGCAGCGGTTGGACAACGGTGGCATATGCCGCTAAAACAGCAAGCACGTCGCTTTCCTCGTCGTCGAAGAGGTGAAAAAGCTTGAGCGCAGAACTGTTGATCTCCATGTTTAGATGGGGAGAGGGGGGTCAAATTTACGTTTGCTCATTTTGAGGCTGCTACCAGTGCAGCGAAGCCCTGTCTACGGCGAAGATATTATCCTACCGGATTGTTTTGTGCGTACTTTAAGTTTATTTTTACTCACAACCGGTGGAGATGCTCTTACAGTCGTACCTCTATAAATGGCACACTTTTTCATGAATCAGTTTAGAGCATTTTCTTCTAAACCCACTTTTGGGACTGAATTTAGAATCGCGATTGCCAGCGGTAATTAATCCTAACGAGCTGCTAAAATTTAGGATTGACATAGGTTTTTTTCCCGCGAAATACTTCGGCCCGGAGGAAGTATTGATCACTATTTGGCCAAATAAGGCTCTGCACACACGTTCTGAATGTAAATATTGCATTGTGCATCTGCAGGGATTCAGTCATCTATCCTAGGAGGGCAGCTACATGTAGAAGAGTTGTATGGTCAGCCTTACACAGTCCAAAAAAAAAAGTCACCTGTAGCACAAACAAGAGAACGCGTTAATGCTAGCAAACAGTGTCGTTTCGGCGCACGAATCACGGGAAAACACATCAAACCCGGGAATCACAGCAAGCTGTGGTGGCAGCACACAGCTAATCGTTGCACTTGATCAGTTGTTTAGATTTTGCAAAGTGACAGGAAAGAGGAGGCTGTTGGAATTAATAGCCAACCAGCACACGCTGCCGGCGCGTGTGGACAGAACGGATTTGCAGTCAGCTAGACGCCGCTCCCCTCCACACGAAGCACCCGAGCGAATATGCCAAGGTACATTCCCTGGCGAGACACGGCCCTCTAGGTCGACCAAGCCACCGCTGACGAGGTGCTAAGTGCGTTTAAGGCGTTCGATATCACGAAGAGCAACACATTGGCGTGCACACTGTGCGCTGATTCGATCCACAAGATGCGCTACCGACTGCTGGAGTGCAGCTCGGAGGCTTGAAGCAAGGCCAGCACCGCCAAATGCCCTTGGCGAGGGAAGGTGGTCACCTGCCTGGACACGACTTGTGTCTGCATTTACGACTACAACGAGCATTTAACCGCCACGGACGATCCGAAGAAGCAAAAACTAACGGAGACCCAAAAGGAATTTTGCCGAGAGCTTGCTGACCAGCATTTGCGGCCAATGCGGATCCGCCTGGCACTGTCTCGGAAGTTTGACACTTCATTGGTGGACCTTTCATCTCTAACTACCGTCCAGAACTTTGTGAATTACTACTCGAGGACATATTTGGAAAACCATGACCGCCTACAAGAGCTCAAGACCTGGATTCACGCCCATGCTTACAATGGGTCTGAGCAAATGACTCAGCCATTCACCTTTGGATGGGAGTACGACAGTGACGGCAACCTTGTAGTAGGAAATGGATCAGATGAAAGGCTTTTCATCGTTGGCCTGACTACAAAGGCCCTGATGCTGCGCATGATGCTACCCCCGGAGGCGTTTGTACTCCACGTGGATGCTACGTACAAAACAAACTACGTAGACTACCCTGTGGTCGTGCTGGGTGTTTCGGATCGCTCTCGTGGATTCCATTATGTGGCGCTTTTCATTGTTTCTCAGGAGACACAGCCAGTCTTTGAAGCGGTTCTAATGGCTTTACGCAGGCTATACTTTTGGATCGCTGGCAAAGAGTTGGTCGTGCAATACGCGATGGCCGATGGAGACAAAGATCAGTGCAATGCATTGCATTCCGTTTTTGGCGGGTTTGCACGGTTTCAGTTTCTTATGTGCTTTTTCCACGTCATGGAAAACGTGCAAAAGGCAGTAAAACAATTCCCCTCGCATCTATCGGCTTCCGTACAGCGCGATATATACGACCTTCACTTTGCTAGGACTAAACATGCATTTTTGGTGATGCGGGACGCTGTTTTACAAAAATGGAGGGAAGACCCACGACTATTTGAATTCTCACAGTACATGAGCTCCCAGTGGCTGTATGGATCTTTCAGTACGTGGCAGGCGTATGCTACGCCGATTGGTTTTGCCAGTACTAACAACCCGGTGGAGACTTTTAATGCTGTGATCAAACGGGATTACACTCTGCGGCGCAGGCTGAAGATGGGTACACTATTGCGCGAGTTTAGTGCGTGTTGCCAAGATCAGTCTATGAGCAAGCGCCAGTTCCAGTTCGGTGTACTTGTAGGAGCATCGCTCACACGCCGCGTGGCAGACCTAGCACGAGGTAACCTACTTGCAATTAGCTGCTGCCATCCGATCGATATTGAAAGTGCTGGACACTCCGCAATCGTTCGGGTGAAGGCGGTGGCACCTCATCGCATTGTGGTAGCGCCCAACAAATGGCGCGAAGAGGGGATAGCGGTGTCGACCCAGATGGGGGTCAACTACGCAAGGATGGAGATTCAGAATCAGCCTTGGGGGGGGGGGGGGGCTGGACGGTCGATCTATGGAGGCAAACTTGCCCTTGCAACTACTGGTTCATGTTCGGATCGTGCGTGCATCTACTGTACGCGCATGGGATGACTGCTCACGTGGATAGCCAAGGACGCGACGTTCTCGTGAACCGGAAGAAACGGAGGCGTGGTGACACAGGTGGTGCTGGTCCTGGAGGACGGCCACGGTTCGCCGGTCCAGCGCTCTGCATTGAATGATCTAGCACCTCAGGGATGCGTGGCAAACCACGAGTTTGTATATACGTGTGCACATAAAGACTTCATAGATATTGTTCATATGAGAAATTTTACATTTGGTGTCTTACACTGTTGCTACAGGTAACTCAATGAATATAGTAAAATCTTGTCTGTGCGAATATCTTACAATAGAGGAGTGGATCTACGCCAATTCCGCTCACGCAGCTCACACATACAGTCGGGAACAAATCATTCCTTTGCTTAAAACACCTGAGATGGTAGATCTGAAGATGCTGGGCCATGGAAACATGGAGAGCTTCGAGAATTTGTGCATCCTTGACTCCAGAACCACCGAAACAAAACAGCACGTAGATACGAGTACACCCACGTAAGATATATAGCATTTCCTTCGTGCTACATGCGCGCGTATACGCAAAACCCAAGTAGCTCGTCACTCAACGCCTTCCATCTGAGTAACTGCGAACCCAGAGTAAATTATTCTAGAAATCGAAAAAAAGCATAATATTTCCACGTGGAGAGCAAGGGACCTGCATTTAACAATTTCTCGCACATGCTTCGTACTGCACTTGCTTAGTCAAACCTAATGCATTGCTCATTTACTTGTACTTACAAAGTTTGAGAGTGCTGGACTTTGTCGAAGGGGTCGTCAAGCACAAGCTGAACATTTTAGGTTCCAGCGCCGTAAATAATAACAAGTAGCAAAATGAAAGAATATGTACGTGTTCACTAAACTTTTATCTCTCTGATACGTGTGCACGCTCTTACCAAAAGCTACTCCGTCTCGGTCGTAGCTTCACCATCCTGCCAACAGTCGTCGCACGCACAATTGAACCAGCGCTCAATTCGACAAACACGGCGTTTGGATCGCACGCGTGGCTTACGAAGCGGGTGATGGAGCCACATTGCGCGGCGTCGACATACACGTACTTCCGGTTCTTCGATTTAGCATTGTAAAGTAGTGTGTACCCACTGTTCTCCTTTAGCGCTTGGTCTGGTTGAACCGGGAGGCGAGCAGACCATTCACTCAGCTTTCCCGTGTACTCTCCCACAACGACGCCAATGTCCATGTCCGTGGTCGTGTAGACACCAAGCGACCAGTGTCAAAGAGCTTAAGGGTCGATCGCTCAATGGGGGCGTTGCTGCAGCGCGCCCCAAGATTGCAGCAGGAAGGTGTACAGTAGACGGCAGCCTCCGCGTTGTCACAGCTGTCCCAAAAGTAATCGCCGATGCATCTGCATTTACAGTACGATCCAAGGTCGGGAAATATGATACCGTTCCTCTCGCAGCTAGAGATCTTCCGCACTCCTTCAGGCCATGGTACCTCATCCAAAAGAACGCGGCCTCCCTTCACAGGCTCCTTGAAATTAGGTCGTCGTAAACGCAGCGCTTTCAGCCGACTCTTCACGCCAGCAATTTTTAATAGCTGTTTGACCTTTTTTGCTTTTATCGAGTGAGCATGGTAGATTTGGGTGCCACTGCGCGTGACCGCGCATTTGGTTTGATAACGCCTTTTCCTCGAGCGGGGCTTGTGCCATGGACACCCGCGTTTCTTAGGCTGATGTCGCTTCTTGGCCCTCTCTAATCGCGTAGGTATCGAGCGAAGATAGTTATTAGCATCCTGAAGCTCTTGATCGGTCGGGGCCGTGATACGGTCTACAATGGGAGTTGATGCCGTTTCCTCGCTTGTAGTAGCTTCCCCAGAGGTGGTTGGAACGGATGTACCGACAGTATAGCCTTCGTTGTTCATCACGGGCGCACTGGAGTGCATTTCATTCTCACATACGGTGACCGAGTTATCGTCAGCTTCTATTGGAGGCGCCTCATGCATTTCAGCAAATCCCTCGCTCTCCATAGAGACCTCTTTAGCATCCACATACGACCCAATGTCATCAGGCGCCGCTTCGGGGTCTGACGGAGTGCTAGGCAGCGTAGAGTGGTGGTCACTAACCAGGTCATCGACCTCAGCCCCGTCCACAGCATCAAGGGTCTCTTCGACGATTCCCTCACGTGTGCGGCGCAGTTCATCAGCTGTAGCCCCAAAGGCGTCTCGGATAGCATGGGAGATTGCCACATTAACGTCACTGGCTCGCGTTGGAGCGCTGCACGTTCCGGGGATGAGAGTGTACGTCCGTAGCTTGCGCCATACGGCATACTGGGGCTTGAACCGGTTCCCAAAACGGTCCACCGTCAACTTCATCATCATGTCGCGCGGAATCATCTCGCCTGTGTCCACGGATATGGGATATTTAGCTCCAACGTCCTCCTTGATCCCGAGTACCACAGACGACCGCAGTCCTCGTGCGTCGCCCGCAACAAAGCACCGGGAGTAATACTCGATTGTGTCACCTGCATACAGGCTAGCTGGATGCAGCTACGAAGCACTGAGCCCCGTCATCGTCGGTTAGCGGGTGCTGGACACCACGCAGAGAACTGCGCTTGACGCTGGATCCGAGTGAAGATTTCGTGTGGCCCCAACCTCCTTACCTTCAGTTAACTTTCGAACAATATCGCTTCATTCAACGAGCCAAGTCTTGAGGGCAGGAGTGGATTTGGGGTCCAGCAGCAGCACGTGGACGGACGCCAATTGCCTGCCCCTTTGCTGCCAATGTGCTGGCAAATCGGCCAGGACTTTGTGTGTTATTCAGATCTGTACGTGTGATCTTAACGTTTCCTCCACAAAAAACCTTCCGATCACATCATAACACACATCAGATGCACAACTAGCGACACACTACGTTCACCAAACTACGTAACTTCACCAAAGTTTGCAAGTTGCTTGTTGCCTCGCTAGGAACGCTTAACGCGTTCTAACAAACCCTTTCCCAACAAACATCGCGTGAGCCAAAATGAGACTCGTAAATTGGGAGTTACTTCCTCCACACGAAAATGATTGGTCTATTTGCACAAAACTTTCGAGAACACCTGCTAAAGTTAACAACAAAGCACGTTGATTGGCTTAATCGAATGTACGCGATTAGCCCTTTCTAGCAAAGTTTGTTTTGCTTTCGTTGGTCCAGAATTGACGGAGCTATCATCGTTGGCGCGGCCCATTCGGACGCCTTCACTTTTCAATCTCCCGCTGAGCCTTGACTTCGCGCGCTACACAACCTAGACTCATTCCATGGGCAATCTGACCGATATCCAAAGGCGTGCAATCGTTAACGATCTTCTTTTTAGTTGTAGAGACGGCAAACCGCCCCATGGCACATTTGCCAAGCTTGCTGAGGTTTATGGCTGTCACTGGCATAGTATCAAGCGCATCTGGGACCGCTACCAGAAGAACGTAGCACAGGGAATCGCCGATGGGGCCCCCGAAAGCAGAATCAAAGGAAACTCAGGGCGGAAGCCATACGATCGCTCCAAACTGGCGGCGAAGCTCAAGAAGGTACCCGTCTTTCAGCGTCGTCGTGTGGCAGCTACAGCGGCTCGTATTGGGGTCTCCACGTCCCTGATACGGTCTCTGGTTGACGAGGGGTACCTGACGCGGCGTTCAAGACGCATTAAGCCTCACCTGAGCGACAACAACAAGATTCAGCGCATGCAGCACACTCTCACCTTCATCAATGAGCAGACGTACCAGTTTGAAAACATGTACGGTATGATACACATAGATGAAAAATTGTTTAACGAGGACATCGACGAGCGCACCTTTCTGGTTCTCCCCGACGAAGAACTGCCAGAACGCCACCGCCAAAGCAAGCGCTTTATACCGAAGACCATGTTTCTGGCAGCGGTGGCCAGGCCAAGGTAAACCTTCGAGATATGATAAACTGCTATTCGGATTGATATGATACTAAACGGGTTCTGAACAGATGTAGGAGGCGATCCCTTCGTGGAAATTGATGCTTCTGATAATTAATATATTGACGAGTCAAATGACCCAATCATTATCTCCACCTACAAAAATTAAATAGTCCAATCATTTTCGTGTGGAGGAAGTATGTTGCGTTAATTACTCCCATTTTGAGTCCCAAGTCCAGTTGCAGTACCATTACAGCATGAGTGTCGTCGATTTTATACAAAAGAGCCTTGAATTGAAATAGTGGCGCTGCGGTGGTGAGGTCATTCATCAAAGGGTCGTAACGTTAATTTTATCATTTGGAGCTGATAACGCTCTTTTGAGTTGGGTTGCGCATTCAATGTTTAAGACAAATGCCTCGAAGTATGGGAAATAAAAAAGTAAGGACGCTGTTTTGATTCAGTAGCGGGGTGAGGTCGACGGGCTTACCCGCTGAAGAAGTAGCTCCCACGTTTTCACTTTACCACGACAAGGTAGCTATCTCAACCTACAAGGTGAGCGTTCAAGAATTTTGGAGGTTGAGCCTCCAACTTTGTTGGACTAAAAATAAAAAAAATAGTGTGATGAATGGATGCGGCCTTCTATTTTAGTTGATTATTCTTTATTAAAAATGAAAAAGTTAGTGTTGGTTTAGAATGACTCACTCTTTGAGAATAGAACAGTATATGCGCAGCACTACTTGCATTCATACAGCTAGTTAAACGAAATACTACTACGCCGTTTCCACAGTTCTCCCTAAAGCGAAGCAACCTAGTTTATTCGGTGCCTTACAGTCTCAGACAAGAGCTATGGTGATTTTAACCATCGAGCGAGCTAGCGAATAAGTGCTGGGTACTCACACTTCTTCTCAACTACTTCTATGATCCGTCATCCTCTTCGTGAACTCCTACGAGATGAATTCGTCACCCAACAGCACTTCAGCACAGGCAAAATCCGTCCTGTATCATGCTCAAAAGAATAAATCTGAAAGACGCCCCCCCCCCCCCCCCTCTTTCAGATTCCAAGTCAAACGAGTTTGGATTTTGAAAATGGACATCACTTTAGAATTCAATTGCATTCAAACGGCTGCGGGAATCGCTCCATTGTGACCGATCCTTGCTTGACGGACCGTGGAGGGGGGGGGGGGAACTGAACAGTTTTTGAAGAATGCACACAATAATTAAGGGCTCAGTGTGGAAACAATTAATGCAATACATGCATGAGCTCAAGACAACCCTGTCAATGACAGGCTGACAACCAACCGAGACTTCATCTCGCCAAACGCCATTTCCGTATGTATGCATCCATGTATCTACAGATATGTATGCATGCGTCCATGCCCATGTATCTATAGACAACTGCTTGTGTTCCATCACTGACTACGACTCGTGCTATCTCAATCCAGCGTTGCGGTATCTAGATAACATTGCGCGACAACCGGAGGACCCTAAATTCCAGCGTATTCGCGCTAGCAACAAGTTTTCGCTTTGAACTTACGGACACAAGGAATTAACCCCGCCCAGTCGTTCGTGCTCTGCGGCTTCGAAGAGATCTCTGAGCAAGGAGAGCAGTTCTTCACTTTCAAGCCATCGCCACAGCGGTTGGTAGCGGAAACCCGCAAGCGAATTCATTTCCTGAAGAATGTTGGTCCGCAGTAAGAATGCGTTCACCGACTAGTGACGTGGAATACCTCAGAGATATCTGTAGACGAATATAATATGTCGACGTCAACCGCACATTTTTTCGCGACAACTATGTAGTCTCATCAGTCCAACTTCATTGTGCGTCATGTGACCATTGAACATGGATAGATGAGACAGTCTGAAGCTACGAATTGAGACCAAAGGACCCATGAACTTGCCATTTTCGCCTACGTTCCGCTGCTTTGTATCCGCTATGTGGCCTAACGGCAAAATCCACTATGAAGAAATTGGGTACACTTGCAACTTCTGAATTTCTCACTGAAGAACCTCGACTACATTTGCTTTCATAGCCAGGATTGCAGCCATTTCAGGTTGATTCTACCGATCATAGCTCCAAATCTTGATATTGTCAAGCCATAGACGAAGGCTGTCGTATTACCGCTGCTGCTGAGGTGGTACTGAACATAACGTGAGTGTTGGTATTGTAGCTCTCCAAGCGGCATCGCGTACAAGTACTTGTAAATCACTCCTGGTGTGATGTCAATTCATTAGTCAATTTGCCTGGAAGAGCACACTTGCCACCTCCAAAGTCACAATGGCCCACGAAACGCCAAGACCGATATCGGCCGCCACGATTAGCGCTACGGATGTGTCCGGCCTATTGGCACGTGGATCGTCGCCGCAGCGCAATAATGCAGTACAGATTGGCAAGTGCCCACCGCCAAGAACGCGTCGTCCGCGTACACCCATCGCACTAACGGAGGAAGACATGCGCACGCTTAGCGCAGACGAGATCAGGAAAAAGAAGAACCGCGTGTCAGCGCAGCGTGACCGCGACCGCAAGAAACAGCACGTTCAGGACCTGGAGGACATGGTGTGTGAGCTTTGGAAACGAGTTCAATACCTAGAAGGAATCATCACATCGATGCACCCAAACCAAGACCTGAGTGGGTTGTACCAGTCGTATGAGCCGTACGCTGTGTCACGGAACTTGCAGCCACTCACCGGAAATGCTGCTGGTGGGGATCTCAATGAGGTCGACATGACCGAGCTCGCGTGGCTGCTCGACTCGATACCGATGGATCCGAGCAACGAAGATCAACCGATGTAAATGAAGCGAGACTCTGCCTGCTGCCGAACCAAAATTTAGTTATGACACCTAAAATCTAAAATCTTTCAATTCAATTGTACATGAGCCTACATGCTTAGGCATTCGCGAATAGGATAGCATATGTCAACAATGCCGGAGACGTTAAACACGACTGCGCAACGCTCACCTCTGGATAATGCACTGAATCAAGTTGATGGGAGTCCATCGGCATGGGGTGCTCTTGACGCGTCGTGTGACTTCGTCTCGACATGAAGACAGTAGTGGCGGAATCAAAGACACTCGAGCAGTGAAGCTCATCACTGCGGGGCGAATACCATGCTGCACAATCCGGCTGTGCTGGCAGAAAATTGCTTAATTTTAACGGTGTGCAACCTTACATCGCGATGGTGGCATGTATTTGAATCGATCCGGTTCGGCCAGAGAGGCACCATCACTCTCACTAAGATATCTTCTTGTGACTGTGCAACGCTGCATTTTAGCGAAGTTGAAGCCTGACGATTAAACGACGTTCGGATGTATGTATCCATTGGGCAGCATGAAGGATCATATATTTGAAAGAGAAAAAAAAACAATATTCAGCGACCCGTTCCGGATATCGCAAACTTCCGATGGTTATTTATTACAAAGTCAATCTTCAACCCAAGCTAGCCACTCGCTTGACCAGCATGCTTGTCAAGTGATGTTGGCAACGAGAAGACACTCTACAACTTGCCTAGTGACTCACAGTCCATTGCGATCTTCGATCTACATCATGAACGTCAACGCCACCACAATCGCTGCTCTGCTTGGCCCAAGAGCATCCTCACGGGTGCAGCATGAGTTGGTTCAAGTTGGTAAATACCCGATGACCACTCGCTGCCGCCGACCTCGTGAAACGATCGAGCTTGAGCTGACCGAAGAAGAACAACGCTCCTTGAGTCAAGACGAAATCCGGAAACTCAAGAACCGGGTGGCTGCCAAACGCGCTCGAGGGCGAGCGCAGCAGCGCGTAACTGACCTGGAGAACACCGTGTGCGAGCTCTGGAAACGCGTGCAATATCTCGAACGGGTCATCAAGCTGCTGCACCCAAACGAGCCAATGGAGTATTTGTACAGCAAGTACGTCATGTACGCCGACTCACCCAACCTCGATCCTCTGACGGAGAACGACGCTGACAAGGGTAGCCTCGCACTCAACATGCACGAGCTCGAATGGTTGTTCAACACGACTCCATCCTCCAACTCGAGTGACGTCGAGATGAAGGGCTAAGCTGCGATCCAGAATTCGACCGTACAGTCCGACTCCGGAAAATCTCAGAGACGTAGGAAATGGCGTCCTGGGCCTTACACTTGATAGGAACCATATACGCATTACACAAAGCAGCTTATAAGCGCTGACCTAGGATACGATTCCGACAGTCGTCATGGCTACATCCCGTCTGTCTAATACAACTTTTTTATCAACCCAGAAAATCCATTATCGATCAGAACTCTCTATATATTTCAAATATAATAGTTGCCATGGTGGGTACAATACGAACCCACCACAAAGTACAGGTCTGCGTTGACGGGATCCACTACACAATTTCGTCAACGAAGCACAGCTCGATGCCAGCGGACTTGGACAAGAATGAAGGCGAGAGGCCAGTATTGGCCGCGACGATCAGTGCGAACGACGTATCGGCGTTGCTGAGCATGAGCGCTTCACCTTCCTCGTCTTACGAAAGAGTTCGAATCGGTAAATGTCCGCCGACACCTCGATCGCGTAGACCGCGAGAAACCATTACGTTGACGCCCAAGGAGATGCAAACACTCAGCGCAGACGAAATCCGCAAGCGGAAGAACGCAATCGCCGCGCAACGTGCACGGGATCACAAGGAGCAACGCACCAGGGATTTGGAGGATATGGTGCGAGAACTCTGGAAGCGCGTGCAATATCTTGAGTCGGTGATCCAAGCGCTGCACCCGAACGAATCGATGGACGATCTGTATAGCCAATACGAACCCTATGCAGTATCTCAAACCATTCGGCCGCTGATACGTGTTGAAGACGAGGACGTGCGCTCACCACCATCGAGCAACATGAAAGAGTTGGCCTGGCTGCTGGTGGGGAACTCGAAACACTCAAACGATGACCACAACTGACAAGTATTCGTTGGGGGTTAGTCGTTCAAATTATCGTCACTCGAAATATGCCAGCGTGCATCGAAGCGAAATTAACATGTAAAAACTTTTGCTGAATAAAGTCTAACTCCTCAACGAGGATCAGCAAGTACCCAAGTCATGAATTGCAGACGGTGTTTAATGCTCAGCAATTAGAAAAAATAACGGCGGGTTTTAGTTGTCGTGGTGCTATGCAGGAGCTTCAATACAACTGGTCCCCGAGCCAAGAATGCCCTTCATCCAGCCGCTTATGTGGTGCGTTTTCTTTTTAGTGTTTGTTTTTGGAGCCTTGGTATAGTTCGCGTACGTAAGTAATCTATTACGTGGCTTTGTGTCCACCGGACGAAAAGAAAATGGTGTGGATCGCAGACCCTCGTTGCCTATTACTAGTAGCACGAGAGAGTTGGCGATTTTGTGGGACAGGTAGGTGTGGGAACTTGGGCAAATTGTAAGGGAAAAAGGAAAAATTTCACTTCAACAAAATATTCATCACAATAGAATATCCGTATTCTGCCTATTTACATGGTACTTCGAAGTTTTTACTCTCGCAATTCTGTCCTGTCTGGTACCTGTGAAGGTAAAGGTAATATGAATGTACCCCAAAGACGCTAAGACATGAACAACACCGGTAGTACTTGTAACAGTTGAAGGGAGATTCGAGCAACTAAAAAGAAACGCAAATGTGACTTGAAGAGCTAGTCCACGAAGACCAAAGCAGAAACTTGACTATCCAAAACCTGCATCGCTTTTCAAAACAACAACATGTCAAAACGCGACGTACCCCGAACTTACACAAGTTCGATGGCGTCAAACACAACGGACGCAGACAGCCACTCCTCGCTGGAGTCGGTTGAGCCACTGGCAACCGACAGCTCTATCGTGTTTGTACCGGTGACAAGAGCAGAGCTCGGGATACTGTACTCGTAATGCTTGTAGTTGCCCAGTGTTACACCGCGCGTGATACCGCGTTGAAACAGCCACGGACGGCTGCACCTTTGCAGTCCAGTCACCGTTCGCTGTGACGCTGCAACGTCCGCTGCTCTGTGCAAGTGTCAGACCAATCTTCAGTGTGCGAGCCTCCGTTGCTTGATCAGCCGTGAGCGTGAAGCTGAGCGTGATTGGATCGTTGACAGCACGGAACATCGCCAGGGGAAGGTGTTATCGTCGTCCTTGCCTGGGGCGAATGTCAGAGACTCCACCCACGTTTCCAAACGTGAATCGCTGGGGTGCATGGTGTGGATATTCGCAGCGTTAAGGAACCCGTCGGACGCGCCATCCCATTCACCAATACGCCAAATGGGACTAGACTCAAGCTCGTACGTCACCTCAAGGGTCTGCGTTGTTGTAGAACCCCCCGTCACCACCGCTGAATGGGAACCAACAACAAGCTGTTTTTTTTATATATGGTGGTGCTGTAGATACCGGGCCGCATCAGCGGTGACGTGAACATCGTTGCATTCGAGTCCACGGATACCCAGTACTGTGCATCATCGTTTGAGAAACTGACAACGACACCAGAGCTACCGAGCACATCGTTGCTGTCAATGATGGAGCCAGACACGGAACCGCGCTCTGTTTCCGAGGTGAAACCCGTTAGATCCAAGTCTTGGAAGAAGTCGAAGTCTACATCCGACGTGGAAGGTGCTGTTCCATCAGTGAACACTAATGCGTACGGACCGTGAAATCCGTAGCGGTAGTCCTCGGTACGCGTATGGTCCGAAAACATGTAGAATGTGAGCTCATTCGCTGTAGTACATTGGTTGTTGATATCACGGAAGAATGGGCCACCCACGGATTTCTCGTAGGCGTTGTCAGACATGATGAAGTAGACGCCACCGGCGTCACCTGTCACACCATGCACTTGGTCCTCGATGAACGGGATCGCGGGGTAGAAGCCGAGCTCATACCGTTATTAATTGTTGTGCGGTCCAGACGTGCAAGGAATCGCAGCTCCGCGTCGGTCGTGTGGTACGTCCCCATGTAGATTGCGTTCTCGTTTGGGCGAAAAAGATAGGTTTGCTCGAGACCCGGTATCGTACACGTGATTTGGATGGTAGAGTCATCTAGCGTCTTGATCGAGCTAGTGATAGTGCCTAATCCAGAGTTAACGTGGGTGTTCTTGGCCGAATATTGCAGCTCGAAGTCGTTCCAGAGCATTGACGTGATATCGCAAGTGTCTTGGTCCATGGTAATCGTGAGACCATCACGACCCATGACCCATCACTAGATGTGTAGCCGAAGTCCAATACCGACTCCACGACGGCCATGATTCCGCTAGCAAGCAGCGTCGAAGCCACCAAGCGTCCACCTACCATAGTAGGTATCCGAGCTGATCAAATAGGTAAGGTCAGAGGAACTCGGCAAAAGCGCAAATGTGCAGACCGAACTAACAGGGAGTTTCTTGTAGTCGGCTCGCTGTCCTAGAGTCTAACATGTTCGGGCGTAGTGGATAAGCGAAAGTTGCTCCGATTCCAGCCGCGGTGCATTTGCTACCGTTTGCAGTAGAGGAACGCCGTGGTCAACATACACGCTCACGTGATCGTGACTGTTGTGTGCTGCCGACGAAATGAAGAAAATCTTTAGCGATCCCACCTGGCTCATAAACTCTGACAATCGCTACTCATGTCACCTCTGACAAAGTAGCACAAACACCATTTCTGGATCCCGATGTTGGATCCGACAAAGGGAGTTGTATTGAGAAGCCTGTAAAGCCTGCAAAGGTTTACTGCGTACAGCATTGAACGTGTTGGTCGACCATTTCAAACCTAGCGATCGCTTTGTATAGAAATCTAATTGGTAGTGCTCGTTTAGACGAGCTCGAGGGCGTCAAACACGACGGAGGCGGACAGCCACTCGCCCAGCGTGTCCTTGTTACCACTGACAATGGACAACACAAGCTTGTTGGCGCCTTCAACCAGCGCAGTCTTGGGAATAGCGTAGTCATAGAACATGTACTTGCCCAAAGTAACACCTCTAGTGACACCCCTCGTCTTCACGGCAGCACTCATTGGCGTCTTGGCGCTGAATTTGTTCACCGTCACACTGCAACGACCGTTGTTCTGAGCGAGAGGAATACCGAGCTTCAGAGTGCGATCCTTACCGACCTGCTCCTTCGTCAACTCGAAATTAATCGTGATTGGGTCGTTCACAGCACGGAACATCGCCATCGGGAAAACCGAGTCCTTGTCCGTGCCAATAGTGAAGTTCAGCGGCTTCCAGGGCTCCATGCGCGAATCACTAGGGTGCGCCGTGTGAATCTTATCGGCGTTCAGGAAGCCATCAGGCGTGCCATCCCATGCGCCAATGCGCCAAAGTGGTTCGGCCACGGGTTCATACGTGACCGTGAGAGTCTTCGCACCCTCCACGCTCTGAGTCCTGCGCTGGGCCGGTGCGGGAGTAGCCGCAGCTGGGGAAGCGGACGGAGCCGGAGCCGATCCACCAGTGATCGTGATCGCCTCCGAGCTGACTGGAAGCTGGTTCTTATAAATGGTGGCATTATAGGAACCTGCGATCATCTTGGGCGACGTTAACGGCTTGGTAGTAGAGTCCACCTTCACCCAGTACTGGGCGTCGGCGTTGGAGAATCCAACAACGACACTAGAGTTGCTCAGCACGCCATTCTTGTCGGTAATAGTACCGGTCCAGGATCCACGCTCCGCCTCTGGTACGAATCCTGTTAGAGTGAGATCTTGGAAGAAGTCAAAGTCGACGTCGGTGACAGCAGGTGCCTTTCCGTCGGTGAAGACGAGAGCGAAAGGTCCATGGAAACCGTAGCGGTAGTCTTCAAAGCGCGTATGGTCCGAGAACATGTAGAACGTCAGCTCATTCGCCTCAGTGCACTGGTTGTTGATGTCACGGAAGAACGGGCCACCCACAGACTTCTCGTAGGCGTAATCGGACATGACGAAGTATACACCACCGGCATCGCCAGTGACACCGTGAACCTTGTCATCGATGAACGGAATACCAGAGTAGAATTTTGAGGCGGTAACACCCTTCGAGTCTGCATACACATCGTGCGCCTCGATGGCTTTCATTCCGTCGATATTTGACGCAGGAACCATGGGGTTCTTGAGCGCCTTACGATCCAAACGAGCGAGGAAACGGAGCTCTCCTAGCTCCATTTCCTTAGTGTGATGCGTACCCATGTAGATGGCGTTCTCATTGGGACGGAACAGGTAGGTGTGTTCCAACCCCGTAGCCTTACAGGAGATCTGGATCGTCTTATCCTTGAGCGACTCAATCGAACTCTTGACACTTTTACCAAGACCAGAGTTGATGTGCGTCATCTTCTTGGAAATCTGCAGCTCCGCCTTGTTCCAGACCATTGACGTGATATCACATGTGCCCTGGTTTATCTTGACGGTGAGACCGGCACCGGAGTCGATAACCCACGATCCACCATCCTCTTTATAGCCGAAACTCGTGGTCGCTGCTCGTTCTTCTACCGACTGGAAGTTCAGGTTCGATGTCAGTTGTTTCGTATTTGCCTGCGTTACCGCTAGAAAACCGCTAGTGAGCAACACAGCCGCACGGAACAACGACCCGGGCAGCATTCTCGAATTGAGTTCTTGATTCCCCCTTTCCTGAAGGTGGGAAGATGCGAAGTGCCATGCTGACCGCAAAGAGTCAGCCTTGTGTTCTAGGACTCAGCAAACAGAGAATTTCAAACGAGCTTTGCTATCCGTATGCTCCGTGTTGGCTACTCGGAATAGCCTATTCCTCAGCAATGTAGAGGAGCGGTCTGTCAAGCTTGCAGGATTTAGTCGCGCCGCGCGCTGGTTTGTTCGTCTACATGATATGTACATGTAGGAGGCATGTTCAATTCTTTGGTCGAGGGATCCGGTGCTTACTTCCATCAAAACCTTGAGGTTTGAATTGAGCTGTTACACGCAAATATAAGTGGTATGGTGGTGTGGTCGGCCTCTACTATTTTAATAGTGATCGACGTTAAGAAAAGTAATAAAAGAACTGATATGCCGATCAATATTTGAGGTCACATATATGCTTCGTATACTACTACTACTACTGAGTTGTAGCAAAGAGTATTGTTTCAATGTCCTCAGGGCTATTCATACTATGTATGAACTCCTGCGCGCCTGTAAACCGAACAAATGCTGATTCCAAGTTATATGGTTAGAGCTACGAACTTTAAACGGCGGTGTTCCTACCAGCAGTGCATGTTGGACTGTTGCTGGAGCTCCTACTGTAATAGTACATTTTGCCCTTTGCTACTAGTGCTACAGAAATCAAATAACTAATTGAATTAGTACTATTCTAGTTTACTGCAGGACGACATGACAAGAACAGGAAGGTGCTTCCGTTCCATATGCGCTAGGCGATTTTGATGTGCATGTATGTTGTACTATTTATTTAGAGCATAAAAGGGAGCGGACGACAGTGAAATCGTATCTATGGCTACCCGTAGTACTATTCTAGTTTACTGCAGGACGACATGACAAGAACATGTACATGTAGTAACTGTAGAAAGATTGTTAGAAGTATTGTTTGACAACATCGGGTCTAAACTACACCAATTCAAGAGCATCAAACACGACAGAGGCAGCTAAGAACTTCTCGGATGGGTCTGTAGCGCCACTTGCGACTGTGAGCTTGATAGAGTTGGTACCCGTAACCAGCGCTGATGCTGGAATGACGTACTCATAGAGCTTGTAGTTGCCCACAACCACGCCTCGAGTGACACCGCGAGTTTTCACAGCAACAGAAGCAGGTACTGGAGCCGTCCACTTACTATTTACAGTCACACTGGAGCGACCGCTGCTCTGCGCGAGTGTGATACCAATCTTCAGCGTTCTCGATACCTTTGCTTGTGCTGCTGTGAGACTGAAGCTGATAGTAATGGGGTCGTTCACTCCGCGAAATTGGGCCATCGGAAACGCACTGTCGGCGTCCGATCCAGCCTTAAAGGTGAGAGCCTTCCAGGCCGACATACGGTAGTCACTCGGGTGCATCTTGTGGATCTTGTCGGCGTTTAGGAAGCCACCAGGAGTGCCATCCCATTCGCCAATGCGCCAAATCGGATTCGAAGTCATGTTGTATGAGACCGTAATGCTTTGAGTCTTCGTCGCTCCTGCGTTGATAAGGACAGATGCCGTACCAACTGCTAGCTGCTTCTTGTACACCGTTGCCGTGTAGCGACCAGCCTTCATCAGCGGCGATGTGAAGGTCTTCTTCCCGGCAGCTACTTTCACCCAGTACTGAGCAGCAGCGTTAGAAAATCCAACGACGACGTCCGAGTTGCCCAGTACGTTTTTAGAGTCGGTGATCGTACCCGCCATTTTACCTCGCTTCGCGGAAGGAACAAACCCAGTGAGACCTAGATCTTGGAAGAAGTTGAAGTCAAGCGACGAAGCTGATGGTGCAGCACCACTTGTGAAAGTAAGGGCGTACGGCCCGTGGAAACCGTAGCGGTAATCCTCCGTCCTCGTGTGGTCCGAGTTCATGTAGAAGGTCAGCTCGTTGGAGACGTCGAGCTTGTTATTGATGTCGCGGAAGAATGGACCACCGCTGGACGTCTCGTAACCGACATCCGAGATCACGAAATACGCGCCCACGGACTTGCCCTTCACACCGTAGACAGCGTTATCAATAAACGGCACACCCGAGTAGTATTTGGAGCGCGTCAGACCTTGGCTATTCTGCATGACGTCTTCTGCTTCAATAGCGGTCATACCCGACTCAATGGTGGCTTCCGTGATACCAGTGTTGACGGCCGACTTGTCCAGACGCGCGAGGAACCGGAGCTCTGGCAGCACGAGGTCTTTTGCGTGATAAGTGCCCATGTAGATGACGTTTTCGTTGGGACGGAAGAGGTATGTCTGTTCCAGACCGGTTTTCTTGCAGATGACGCGGATGGTCTTCTTCGAGTCACTCAAAGTCTTGATGGACGACGTGACCTTACCAAGACCAGAGTTCACGTGAGTAGCCTTGGACTTGTACTGTAGTTCCTTGCCGTTGTAGTTGATAGACGTGATATCACACGTGGATTGCTTCATGGTGACGGTCAGACCCTTTCCGGTGCTGACAACGTACTTGTCGGAGCCCGTGGAGTATCCGAAACTCGCGGCTGCAGAGACCGTCGGAGGTGCTGCTGTTAGGACGGTAGAAACCACCAGAGCGAAGGCAAATAGACGGCAAAGCATTGTGCTTGAAGGAGATGTCGCTGGGCTTAACTATTGCGCAGAAAGTTGCCGAGTGAGCTCTCTGATCGAGCAGAGGATGGAGCAGAGAGGGGTGGGGAGACGACGTCGTTGCTGATCATGCGGTGTTCATGAATGACCTGCGGCAGTTGACATTCCAGCAGTTCGAGAAGTAGACCTCATGTCTTGCTTTTATTGAACCTCAGTCACCGTACAATGCTCCGTCAATACCGCAAAGTTCAAATAACTGCTCAAATCCAGGCATGTTACTCCATCTGGAGGGTACATTTTTTCAGCTGCTATCACAACTCGATCCTAGTGCTGTTAATGTAAACCCGAAATGTGGAAGCGTGCGTCCGTGAAGCTATCGTTGCATTTCGATAAGTAGAAGGATTAACGAGTTAATTACAATTACATGTACTTATTATTATCCAGAGTGGCATTGAAATTGGTATCCCGAGTTGTCCGTGAAGTGTCCGCCAACCTTTACATTGCCTACTAGCGAACAGCTACAACCTGACGTCGAGCACGACTGGTTCGGCTTTCGAAGCGACCTAGATGATCATATTGTTGTTACAGACACTCTGCTTTCAGGATTTCAAGACCTGTTCAACTTCTAAGACCCACTTCAAATGGTGGAGGTAAATAAAACTTAGAAAAATACTATTTTAATACAAATACTTAATACATACCGGTGTATCGTAGTTCGACACAATGCTTCATTTTGTAAAATGGATTTCTAAAAAACTATAAAAAAATTATCTGTAACTGGAGAAGAAAAAGAAAAACGAGTGTGTACCAAGTCAAGTAAAAATTCAGGTGAATTTTATGAACTTCGGATGCTACATGTAGAGCTTGCGTTTGTTCTACCATGTACTGACGTAAGGCAATGTGTTCTTAGACCAACTCGAGAGCGTCGAACACTACCGATGCCGACAACCATTTTCCAAGTAGGTCCTTGTTGCCGCTCACAATCGAAAGCTTTATCTGGTTGGTTCCCTCGACCAAAGCAGTCTTGGGAATGGCGTAGTCGTAGAACATGTACTTGCCCAGGGTCACACCACGCGTGACACCGCGTGTCTTCACAGCAGCGCTCAGAGGAACCTTAGCCTCAAATTTGGTGTTCACAGTCACGCTGCATCGACCATTGTTTTGGGCGAGAGGAATACCGACCTTCAAAGTGCGATCCGCGCCGATCTGGTCCTTTGTCAACTCAAAGTTGATCGTGATCGGGTCGTTCACAGCACGGAACATCGCCATTGGGAAAATCTCGTCCTTGTCCGTGCCGATAGTAAAGTTCAGCGGTTTCCAGGGCTTCATGCGGGAGTCACTGGGGTGCGAGGTGTGGATCTTGTCGGCATTCAAGAACCCGGCGGGAGTACCATCCCACTCACCAATGCGCCAGAGCGGCTTGGCCACGGGTTCATACGTGACCGTGAGGGTCTTCGCACCCTCCACGCTCTGAGTTCTGCGTCCTCCGTTCGTGGCCGGTGCCGGAGCAGCCGCCTCGGTGCTTGCTGGAGCTGGAGCCGGAGCCGAACCAGCAGCAATCGTGATCGTTTCCGAGCTGACGGGAAGCTGGTTCTTGTAGATGGTGGTGTTGTAGGTTCCAGGGACCATCTTAGGCGACGTGAATGGCTTCGAGGGGGAGTCCACCTTCACCCAGTACTGGGCGTCGGGGTTGGAAAAGCCAACCACGACACTAGAATTACTCAGCACGCCATTCTTGTCGGTAATAGTACCGGTCCAGGAGCCACGCTTCGTTTCCGGTACGAAACCTGTGAGGTTGAGATCTTGGAAGAAGTCAAAGTCGACATCGGTGACGGCAGGCTGCTTCCCGTCATTGAAAATTAGAGCATAGGGTCCATGGAAACCATAGCGATAGTCTTCAAAGCGCGTATGGTCCGAGAACATGCATAAGGTAAGTTCGTTGGCCTCCGTGCACTGGTTGTTCATATCGCGGAAGAATGGTCCACCCACTGACCTTTCGTAAGCGTAGTCGGACATAATGAAGAACACACCGCCAGCGTCACCCGTCACGCCGTGAACCTTGTCGTCAATAAACGGAATACCGGAGTAGAATTTCGAAGCCGTGATACCTTTCGAGTCTGCGAAAACGTCGTGGCCTTCGATGGCAGTCATGTTATCGATTTTGCACTCAGGAACCATGGGGTTGTCCATCGGTTTACGGGCCAAACGAGCAATGAAACGGAGGTTTCCCATTTCATACTCCTTGGTGTGGTACGTGCCCATGTAAATTACATTTTCGTTCGGACGGAAGAGGTACGTGTGCTCAAGGCCCGGGGTCTTGCAGGAGATCTGGATCGTCTTGTCCTTGAGAGACTCGATGGAGGTGTTGATCTTACCAAGACCGGAGTTGATGTGCGACTTCCTCTGCCAGGTCTGCAACTCGGCCTTGTTCCAGATCATGGACGCGATATCGCACGTGCCCTGATCCACCTTGACGGTGAGACCGGCGCCCGAGTCGATCACCCACGATGCACCATCCTCCTTGTAGCCGAAACTCGTGGTCGCCGCTCGCTCCTCTGCAGAGTCGAAGTTCAGGTTCGATGTCGCATGGTTAGTGTCCGCTTGCGCTACTGCCAGCAGCCCACTCGTCAGCAGCAAGGTCGAACGGAATAGTCTTCCTGAGAGCATCGTCTTGAAAGCCTCTTTCCTCAAGGTGGGAAGATGTGAAATGCCATGGCTAACCAGGACCTGAACACCTCTGACAGGAAAGAGTAGCCTGGAGACCGCAGAGAGGCAGTCAGGCTGAAGTTCGCGACTCGCAGAACATCCGCATACAATCCGCAATCGAAGAGCTCAAAACGAGCTTTGCTCGCCGTATGTTGCGTTAAGGTGCCCTGACTCAGCACCATTCTGCCAAACCTTATGTCGTGTTACTAACCTAGAAAGGGGACCAAACAGCAAAATAAACGTTCTCTGGATATTTATATCCAGAGTCCAGAGTTTTCCAGAGTTTTAGGGGCGATCGGAAAACGTCGACGATCCTGTCAAATAACATTTGTACGGTCAGATCTGTAATTATCAAAACCTTTGGTGCGAACATTTCTATCTAGATATGACGCAGGA